GGTGGGGATGATCCGGATCTCAGAAGGTAACTGGTTCCAGAGAGCTGGGGCAGCCACAGAGAAGGCCCTCCCCCAGCCGGCATTGTTTAGCTGACAGAACCCGGAGGAGACCAACTCTGTGGGATCTTACCGGTCACTGGGAGCTATGTGGTAGAAGGCGGTCTCGAAGATAACCTGGCCCTGAGCCATGTAGGGCTTTAAAGGTAATAACCAACACCTTGAATTGTAACCGGAGACCAATAGGGAGCCAGTGCAGCTCGTGGAGAATTGGTGTAATGTGGGTGTACCTAGGTGCACCCACGAGAGCTCGCGTGGCTGCGTTCTGGACCAACTGTAGTCTCCGAACACTTTTCAAGGGTAGCCCCATGTAGAGCACGTTGCAATAATCTAACCGTGAGGTGACAAGGGCATGAGTGACTGTGAGAAGAGCCTCCTGATCCAAGTAGGGTCGCAATTGGTGCACCAGGAGAACCTGTGCAAAGGTCCCCTTAGCCATAGCTGACAGATGTTGCTCTAATCTTAGCTGTAAGTCTAGGAGGACACCCAAATTCCAAGCCCGTTCTGAGGGGGACAATTTCTCCCCCCACCCCGAACCAAGGATGGACAATCAACATAGTCTTTAGGAGGCAATACCCACAGCCACTCGGTCTTGTCTGGGTTAAGTCTGGTCATGTGACTGAACTTTGGGTGCTTGGCAACACGGCTGTGTTTATAACTGTTTGCAGCATCCCACAGTCACATGACAGTATTTCACAACACTTTCATCCCAAATTGGCATTTCTAATTTTCAGCAAAACAGCACCCATAACAAACCATTGCTATGTTTAATGTGGTGATTTGCTTAACAACCATCACAAGAAGGGTTGTACGAATCAGATCAGTCATGTGGTAAAGGTTCCCCCGCACATGTGTGCTAGTTGTTTCCGGCTCTAGGGGGCAGTGCTCATCTCCATTTTAAAGCCGAAGAGCCAGCGTTGTCCGAAGATGTTCCGTGGTCATGTGGCCGGCATGACTAAAGGCGCATGGAATGCTGTTACCTTCCCACCAAAGGTGGTCCCTATTTTTCTATTTGCATTTTTTATGTGCTTTCGAACTGCTAGGTTGGCAGAAGCTGGGATACGTAACGGGAATTTACCCTATTACGCGGCACTAGGGATTCGAACTGCTGAACTGCCGACCTTTTGATCGACAAACTCAGCGTCTTAGCCACTGAGCCATCGTGTCCCCTTATCTACATCTACATCTACATCTACATCTACATCTACATCTACATCTACATCTACATCTGATCTGATCTGATACACACACATACACTGCCCATTTCACTGTTCTGTTTTAGGACTGTCATGACTTATGACCATGATGGGCAGGCTCCATTACAGTCGTAAGTCAAAGATTACCTATAAGCATCTGTTGAAGTGAACTGCAGCTCATGAAAATGTATGCCTTTGAATGCAGTTGGTTAGTTGGGACCTAACCTAAACTAACAGGATCGACCTCTAGCAAAGGAAGTCCATGGCACCTTGGCTGCCTCCAATTGGTCACAGAGAGAGCTTAACCTCTCTGAGGTGGCTCTGATTCTGTGACTATCCTGTGTGGGCAAATGCTTTCCAATTCAACAAGCCTCTACTTATATTCTACAGTTCTTCCAGGAATGTTCTAGTGATATTCTTGGTCTCATTCATCCCCCTTGTCTGTTATCTTCACCTTATTGTATTTCCCTCACTGTTACAAGCAGAGTCCTTCTTTTTTTTAGTTCATCACCTGTTTGCACCACATGCCCAAATGTATGTATGTTTGCTGATCACTGCCTCAAGAGCAGTCAGTCTTTATTTGTTCAAGGACTGGCCAGCAGTTCATGATATTCTTAGAAACCGTTTCCAAATCCATAATTCACAACTATTTATTTTCTTTCTTTTGTTCTTTCTCAGTGTCTTGCTTTCACAGCCATACATTTCCACTAAGTAAGTCTTGCTTTAACTATTCCTATCTTTGTTGGTAGTCTGATCCTTGATGGTCTTCTTTATTTATTTACTTTATATATAAAATTTCCATTTCACCCACAAATAGACTCTAAGGTTTAGACTCTTATCTAAGTTTACCTCCTATAGATCCATCTCCTGACTTATCTAGCATGCTGTCTATTTTTATCCATTCTTGAGCTCAATAAAGTCATCAGTTTTGCATTTATTAAGTACACAGATTGGCATTACCTTTGTCTTTTTTTTAATATTTAAAAAATATTTTGAAAATATCTTTTCCTTTTTCCATTTTTTGCTTTTCTAATGAGCTCTTTTGAGCCTGATACATTTTCATCTGTCAAAGAATTATCTTCTCCATATTGAGATTTGTAACTTTAAGTGTCCAGTTTTTATGTCAGCTGCTATTTCTTCTGAGACTGCAACTTGTGATGTATATTTCCTGTGCAAGTTAAACAGATATGAGGTCAATGTGCATTTTTGACCCTTTTTTATTCTGAATGGTTCTATTCCTCCAAACTTCATTCTTACAGAAGCTTCTGTTTCCCTGTGAAATCTTCCTCACTAGAATAATCGGATATTTAGGTATGCTTAAGATAGATTCTTCTGCCAACCTAGCAGTTCGAAAGCATGTAAAAAAAAATGCAAGTAGTAAAATAGGGACCACCTTTGGTGGGAAGGTAACAGGGTTCCGTGCACCTTTGGCGTTTAGTCATGGCCGCCACATGACCACAGAGATGTCTTCAGACAGCGCTGGCTCTTCGGCTTTGAAACGGAGATGAGCACCGCCCCATAGAGTTGGGAACGACTAGCACATATGTGAGAGGGGAACCTTCACCTTTACCTTTTAGGATAGATTGGGAAGCCAAAAAAAAAAAAATCATTCTGGAAGGTGACAGTGGCAAATCTGTGACAAGCCAAAAAACAAGTCCCAAAGTCCCAAGGAGATTTGACCATTACTAATGCATGACTGTTGTTTCTTGAGGCAGTAAAACAAAGACATTAAAAATGATGTCACAAGTTATTTCAGTGTTTTGGGTTTCTATACATGCCCTTGTTTATTGGGTCATTGATTTCAGTGGAGAAAAACAATGGAGAAAATTATATGGCATACCGAGGAAAGATACAGTAGGTGCGTCAAATAAAGACACAAGAAACATCACAAGAGCTGTGGTGGCGCAGTGGTTAGAATGCAGTATTGCCAGTTCAATCCTAACCAACTTAATGTTCACTCAGCCTTCCAATGTGGGAAGCTCCCCTCCCCCACAAAGAATGAAATATTTTGGGGAATATTAAAAAGGCAGGATAGAATATTTCCCCTAAAGGAGAAATGAAAAAGAAAAACTTAAGGGAGGCAGAAACCAGCCCCCATTTCCCTGCCCCAAGCAGAAAATGAGGAGGCCAGCTTTCAGAAATGCAGATTTGGTAATCCATTCAGAAAGACTGGCTCAAGACAGAAACTCAGGTAAGCAACAAACAAAAGGTTGACAAAATTACCTCAGACAAACACCAAGGATTTGCATTTCCCTTTTGCCTATAGAGCCAGCCATGACTTCTACATGACCCCATAGGAATCCAGAAGGTATAAAAACCCACCCACTCTAAACTCCATTTTGTCAGCCGCACCAGAACCACAAGCCCTGATGGTTCTGTTCATCAATAAATGGACCTTCTTTCCAATCAGCCTCCAGCCTTGTGCTGTTTCCAGAGTCTTTCTCCCAGCTTGGAACTGAACCAGATGGATTTTCCTTCCAACACCATCTTTCTGAGGTCGGTAAAATGAGGACCTGGATTGTTGGGGGCAATATGCTGACTCTGTAAACCGCTTAGAGAGGGCTGGAAAGCATTATGAAGCAGTATATAAGTCTAAGGGCTATTGCTATTCTTCATCCAGGTCTCAAAAATTCGGCAGATATTACCCGCAGCAAAGATTATACAATGAACAGAAGCATACCAGGACAGACTATGGACTGCTATAAGCAACATTACACCCAGTAGTTACAAGAATCTCTCACTCTCATTTATCTGGATAAATAGGCTCAGGTGCAAACAAATAACAAGAGAAAAAAAGAATGAATGTATTTTTATATTTTTAATTTGCAAAAATACATTTTGCATCTATGTAAATACATTTTGCATTTTTAATCCAATATATCTAGAGGGTGTCAGGCTGGAAAAAGGTAAGAGAGCCTGATTTTAATATGTGCACTGTTTAGGGTTGCCAGGTCTGCTTCCAAAAAATAGCGGATAAGCGGGGGGGAGGGGGTTAAGTAGTAAAAAAAATAAAAAATGTTTACAATTAAATTATATATTTTCTTACAAACAATTTACAGTAGGCGTCGTATTTGTTCTGTCGGTTTCGTTGTTGGTAATCCATGCAAAAGTAGCTTCCCAGTCTTTGGTGTATTTGCACACTCCTCTCTTTCGTTTTAAAGAATTCAAAATCTCGCCGCTGTCACTCTCATCACTCGAAGCCATTTTAGGTCAGTCGACACAAGCTACAATACATTTTAAAAATGTGAACTGTACATAATTTTATAATATATTTTTATTTTAATCTCATCATTAATTTTTTCGGAGAATCGAGTTCAATGGATATTCGATCTTTGTCTCATTCTAATTTATGAAAAAAAAGACAAAACGCGATTCTCCTATCCTTATTCTCTTAGACTGTACAGCTTTAGATTACGTACCATTTCATCATAAAGCTTTTGAATAAAAAAAATGTCCACTATTTTGTGAAAAAAAAAATAGTGAACATAATGTGAAAAAAGCAGACTGTCCGCTCAAATAGTGGACACCTGGCAACTCTATAAAATCTGTTTTTGGAATTCTGATTGTTCACCACAATCTAGTTTTGTTTTGGCTAATAGAGCCCAGCAAAAAATTTGGGAGAACTCCTTTGCCATTTTGGTGTTATTGCTTTACATCCAAAGAACATTTTGTGCATCTACCTATAGAAGGAGGGCAAGGTCATTTCCCTTCCTGATTCTTAATGTTGTTGTTTTTCTTCTCTTCCAGGCCTCTAACCCTGGCTTCACTGGGGAAAGTGTAATCAACATAAACCATTATGCTACCAAGAAAAGTATGGCAGAGAGCATGCTGGACGTGGCCCTCTTTATGGCTAATGCTGCACAGCTGAAGGCAGTCCTGGAACAGGGACCTTCATTCCACTATTATGTGGCTCTGATAGTTCTCATCAGTGTGTCCCTCTTCTTCCAGATGACCATTGGGATTCTCCTTATAGTGATGGGTAAGATGGGTTTTTTTTTTTGCAGGCCTTTAATTCAGGGGTGAAATGCTCCTGCATCAGACCAGATCTCCCGATCCGGTAGCGATCTTGGCTGGTGGTTTGGCGATCCGGTAGCGATGGTGGAGCAAAGTTTTAACCAGGAAGTAATGTATATTTTTACCTTCTGCACATGCAGAGAAGGTTTTGCGCATGTGCAGAAAGTCTGCATGTGCAGGTGACATGCATGTGAGCTCAAGCATAGCAAGCACGCATGCACGGCACGTGCGTTTCCAAACCGGTAAGGAAGGTAAGTAGATTTCACCCCTGCTTTAATTTCATGGATGGTATAAAGAGACCTTTCCTGTTCTTCATTTCAAACTGTAGTTGAATTGTTTGAATCATTTACAGGAGTAGCTACTGTATGTAAACAGTCCCAAAATGCAAATGCCTAAACTGCCCTTAGAATTACTCAACACCAGCCTTTTCCGATGTGGCGCCCTTCCGAAGTGCTAATATTGCTTACTGATTTGTAACTGCAGTTTCTACCTGGTTAACAGCCAGACTGCAACTTTTTTTGGTGAGTAAAGATTGTGGAAAGCACACTTAGAAGAACTAATGGTTGAGAAAACCGGTTGGCAGATGATTTCTCTGACCTACGGGCAGTGGTGGGTTTCTACTGGTTCGCCGCGGTTCGAATGAACCAGTAGTGGCGGTGGCAGGAGGCTCCGTCCACCCACCCAGACATCATGACAGACACTCTGTGCATGTGCAGAAGGTTCTGTGCATGTGCAGAAGTGCCACACGTCAGCAAAGCAAGCATGCGCATGTCTGCACGTTCCCGATTCTGAACTTGTAGCAAAGGTAAGTGGAACCCACTACTGCCTACGGCTCACCTTGTCATCTTTCAAACATTTGTTTTATTTATGTATTGGCCTTTATTGAACTAGTCAGACAAACCAATTTCTGCTGGTTCGAATCTCTCCAAGGCTCAAGGTTGACTCAGCCTTCCATCCTTTCTAAGGTAGGTGAAATGAGGACCCAGTTTGTGGGGGCAATAAGCTGACTTTGTATAAATATACAAAAGAATGAAGGCTATTGCTTAACGCATTGTAAGCTGCCCTGAGTCTCCGGAGAAGGGCGGCATATAAATCAAAATTTAAAAAAAAAAAAACATAGCAAAAAAAAAAAAAGAAAAGAAAGAAAGATGGGAGAAAGGAGCAAAACTACAACAGGGAAAATTATCTCCGTAAGGGATTCTCCTATATGTATATATGAACATTTTAATATCGATTTCAATGAAGGATGTTCTATTTCCTTGTAACCATCCATATATAATCTATGTCTATAAGCAACGTGTTCATAAACTGCAAGTAACTTCAACTCTTTAATCCATTCAGTGATATCATCCTACTGTTGAAAGACTTAATAAGAAAGGCCATGGGAAATTAATTTTTGTTGCCCAGCCATCAGTTTTGTATAATGGGAGGTCATTCAAAAGAATATAAAAGCCCAAATATAATTTTTTTCTCAAAGAAAAAAAATAATATATGTAATTACTTTTTCCTAGAATATAATAATTTTAGGGCATTGAAAGTACAGGCAGTATTTGAATTACAACCACAATTGAGCCCAAAATTTCTGCTGCTGAGTAAGACTAAGTAAGTAAGTAAGTAAGTAAGTAAGTAAGTAAGTAAGTAAGACTGAGTAAGATTAAGTGAGTTTTGCCCCATTTTACGACCTTTTTTGCCACAGCTCTTAAGTGAATCACTGCAGTTGATAAGTTAGTAACCCGGTTGTTAAGTGAATCTGGCTTCCTCATTGACTTTGCTTGTGAGGAGATCACAAAAGGTGATAATATGCCCCTAGGACACTGCAATGGTCATAAATATGAACCAGTTGCCAAGCGTCTGAATTTTGATCACATGATCATGGGGATGTTGCAAAGGTCGTAACTTACTGTAGTATTAGAATAGAATTTTTTATTGGCCAAGTGTGATTGGACACACAAGGAATTTGTCTTGGTGCATACGCTCTCAGTGTACATAAAAGAAAAGATACGTTCGTCAAGAATTATAAGGTACAATACTTAATGTTAGTCATAGGGTACAAATAAGCAATCAGGAAACAATATCAATATAAATAAGGATACAAGCAACAAAGATACAGTCATACAGTCATAAGTGGAAGGAGATGGTGGTGGGAACAATGAGAAGATTAATAATAGTGCAGACTTAATAAATAATTTGACAGTGTTGAGGGAATTTTTTGTTTAGCATATCAATACAAATAATAGTTGGTTAAATAAACTGTAATCTGAGAACTACTAAAATTTTTGACACTGACATTAAGACAATTTCCTACTGCTGAAACAAAATGGGGATTGTCCTATTCCATCTTTAAAACTCGCGCAATTTAAGATCCAAGGGATTTATCAATAGTGAGTTTGCTGCCTCCCCAGTCCCTGTTGGACTACAATTACTATCAGTCCTTGTCTATACTAGCTGGAGTTGATGAGAAGCGAAGCCTTAAACAATACTAAGCTTGGAAGCCTGCAATTAACCAGGTCACGGGGAGCAATCCAATTTCCATCACAGTGCTCTTGATGGGGAGACTTTGATACTTGCTGTCAGTAGCCATGAAAACACGGATGTGTTTGTTGGAGGTTGCAGCCGAAGCTGCCTACACACCATCCTGCATCGACCCCGTTTCTTAAGTAAATCCACCACCCTGGTGGTTTTTTCCCCTTCCCTTTGTAATCGCTCTAGTCTAGTTCTTTGAATCTCTGTGGTTACAGATAGAGGAAGCAGTCTCCGCAACTGTCTGGGTTGGTCCTCCATGCTCCTTCCCCTTGCCTCCACCCCCCTCCACCCTTGCCCCCCCATGCCCTTGCATGATAAAAGCAGCCAGTCTTTCTCTCCTTATGTGTTTGGCATTGAAAGGAATGACAGGGTCATGAACTTGAGCGCCATACAGCTGCAGTCCTGCTGTATCAATAGAAACTCTCTTCTATATATAGAGGCTGATTGTTAGCATTCCCAACATGCATGGATCTTCCTGCACCCCTTGGCTTTCAGCTTCTTAAAAAACTCTGACCAAGGGTGGGGGGTCCAAAAAGTGACTCATATATATATTTTTTTCCAGTGGGTCAAGTGTCATCCAATCCGTTCTTAAAAAGCAATCAGGCCCCTTTGGATGGAGAGTTGCATTTGGTTTTCAGTTAAACAAACTTCGTTGAAAATCGCTAGCTGGTTGGGCAACTCACCAAGCGCCAAGACGCCTTTTGCTATTGGTTCCACATGTCATTTGCATGACAGCAAATCCTGCTCCTGGGGGGGGGAGGGAGAAATAATCAGGAAAGGCCACATGTTTCCTGTCACCTGTTCTCCATATGCACGTTTTATTTTAAGAGTGGTGTAAACTTATATTACATCAAGGAAATGTATTGTTTTTGCATTCTCCTCTTTGCTAAGCAATGAGAAATTCAAGGAGGAGAGAGAACTGGGGATGCAGTCTGCTTCTGAAATATTCGATTTAGCTATAAATATGCAAGTCAAGACAAGCAACCATAACTAATCGAAGCCCTGTTTCTCAGCTTTTACATCTCACTGTTTTGTAGACCAGGGGAAAAAAAAATAATCACATATACCCTGTTTCTCCGAAAATAAGACCCAACTAGAAAATAAGCCCTAGCGTGAGTTTTCAGGATGTTCATAATATAAACCCTACCCAAAAAATAAGCCCCAGTTAAGATCGTCAGCAGATGGAGGTGTTTAGTACTATATCTCTCCCAAAATAAGACCTAACAGGAAAATAAGCCATAATCTGTCTTTTGGAGCAAAAATTAATATAACACCCGGTCTTATTTTGGGGAAAACACGGTAGGATTGGGAAAGACAACATGTTTCATTGCCCTGACTTTTTTGGGAGAAAAATCAAATAAGACCATCTTAATATTCAAGAAATCATAAAATAATTCAATGCATTTTTGTGATTTTTAGTGTTTTCTGAGTCTTGGGGAAAGGCACCTGTAATTGAAAGGAGGGAGGGGTCAAGAAAACAAAGTACCTCTGTGTGAAATTTTGACCAGATTGGATTTAATGCTTATAGTTCGACTGAATCTGAATGATGTGGCAAAACAGCAGCTCCTGGACTTGCTCAACAATGTTACCACGGTCCTCGTTTTCATCACAGTCATTATCAACATCTTCATTACAGCCTTTGGGGTGCAGAAGACAGGGCTGTATCCAAACACTTATGGACGAAGGTTCTACTGACTCTTGAAGGGGTAAGAAGGGGATGGAATTCCTACCTAGCTCTTCGTTTGACTAGGTTGACATTTCTTGGTGGACCCATTTTTCTTCCCATGCTTTCAGCTTTTAGCTGTCTGGTTAGCTACTTGAGGAAAAGTAACTTGATTAAGTGTTACCAATTGGGAGAATGGACAGAGAAATGTTAAGATGGATAAAAAAGTAGAAGGTAGTGTGTAGTGTGTAGTGTTCTGAGGGGAACAGTTTAGTGTGTAGTGTTCTGAGGGAAAGTGTGTAGTGTTCTGAGAGGAAAGCGTGTAGTGTTCTGTTCTGAGGGGAAATTGTGTAGTGTTCTGAGGGGAAAGTGTGTAGAGTTCTGAGGGGAAAGTGTGTAGTGTTCTGAGAGGAAAGTGTGTAGTGTTCTGAGGGGAAAGTGTGTAGTATTCTGAGAGGAAAGTGTATAGTGTTCTGAGGGGAAATTGTGTAGTGTTCTGAGGGAAAGTGTGTAGTGTTCTGAGGGGAAAGTGTAATCACACTGAGAGGAAAGGATGCCAAAAGAAGCAAAAAGGGCTTTGTATTTGAGATCAGGGGGTTACATAAAAGCAGTGTGTATGCTAAAAGAACTCAAGAATAAACGAGGACTGAATGAATTGAGACTGAATATAAAAGCAAGTGACCATCCCAAAGAAGCACATTAAGATAGTTTGGTCATGTGGAGAGAATGAATATGAACTGAGTTGGAAAAGAAATGCTTGAAAGAAGAGTGAATGAGTTGAGAGGAAGAAGAAGATTGGGAAACTTGTGGTTGGAGGGAGCTAATGACACCCACAAAAGAGAGAAGTTCAGAGTTGAAACAACAAAAAAGACATATGAATCAGAATTGATTGTCATTGAACCAAAGACGTTTTATAAAGATAGAGAGAACAATGTCGGTGTAAAATAGATTTAGCCAGTGGTGAAATGTAAAATTTGTTATTACCGGTTCTGTGGGCATGGCTTGGTGGGGGGGACGGGTAATATGACTGAGTGGGCGTGGCCAACTTTTTTTTTTACTTTTAAAAGCACTTTTTCTTCAACCTCTTCGGCTGAAAAAAATGCTAAAAAATGCTTTTAAAGCCTCTGACGATCCCAGCTTACTTGCCTGATTGGCAAAACATTTTTTCTATAACCTCTTCAGCCGAGGCTTTTTTTCAGAGGCTTTTTTTTTAACTTTTAAAAGCATTTTTTCGGCCAAAGAGGTTGTCGAAAAAATGCTTTTAAAAATTTTAAAAAAGCCTCTGATGATTGCGCAGCTCAGCTGGGCAATGGGGCGGGGAGGCAAGGATATTTGCTACCCGTTCTCTGAACCACCCGCCTCCATCGCTATCTGATCGGGCAATCCAGTCCGAACTGGGAGCATTTCTCCCCTGGATTTAGCCATGTTACCTTTTCTTTTTTTCTTACCTCATGTCTAATATACTTTGTGCAGTATTTCTAATTCTTTGCTCTGCTTTGCATGATTTTCATTGATTGATCACGCGCTGGCAAGTCAGTCTCAAGTCTTAGGAACCATGTAGATCACAGGTGTCAAACTAGCCGCATCATGTTGCCATCACGTGACGTATTGCAACGTTTTTTCCCTTTGTGGAGCTGGGATGGGCGTGGCCTATGTGTGACGCATCCGGCCCACAGCTGCCAGTTTGACACCCCTGATGTAGATCAAGGATGAGTAACTATGGCAACTTTACAACCTGTAGACTTCAACTCCCAAGAATCCCATGGCTCAGGAATTCTGGGAGTTGAAATCCACAAGACATCAAGTTGCTGTTGGTTGCCCATCCCTGAAGTAGAGAGATTTTCTCCAGGAGAATCTTGGATAAACTTGCCAATTCTAAAATAGAATATCATGATGTGTGCATGTGTATTAATTGTTTCATTTAGTACTGGAAAAAAATGCAGTCCAAACACTTCTTTTTAAATCAATGTTATACAAATAGTTCTGGGAGCCATTTTGGGCAAAGAGGTAGAGAAACATATTTTATAACTTTTTTTAAAAAAAAAATATTTCATGAGTTTATTCAATTTACCCCCTTTACATTCCATCAGCAGTGTTGGGATGGGTAGCGTGCATAACAGTCCTTAACCTTTCTTTTGATTTTCCTTGCAGGATGGTGTACACGGCAGATGACCGAGAGATCTTTCTGCAGACCTCAAGCCTGAAGGGCACCCTTTGATTTTGTTCCATTTATAAGCTCCCTTTTTTCTCTCAACCTTTTTCTAATCTATCATTCCATAACCAGCTCTACACATCATTCTGGAGAAAGATTGCATACAACTAAAAGCAGTGTGAAATCCAAATTTTTTTAGTACCGGTTCTGTGGCTTGGTGGGCATGGCAGGGGAAGGATACTGCAAAATCTCCATTCCCACCCCACTCCAGGGGAAGGAGACTGTAAAATCCCCATTTCCTTCCCACTCCTGGGGGAAGGATATTGCAAAATCTCCATTCCCACCCCACTCTGGGGCCAGCCAGAGTTGGTATTCACTGGTTCTCCGAACTACTCAAAATTTCCACTACCGGTTCTCCAGAACCTGTCAGAACCTGCTGAATAGCACCCCTGAACTAAAGCAACCTGATGAGAAAAGGCACAATCCTAAACATAAACAGTCCAAATCCCCAAATGCCCCACTATCTATATAGACATGGGAAACCTATTTCCATGTACAGTTGTTGAAATCCAGTCTCAGACAGCATGGCCAATAGTTTGACATGATAAGAATTATATGGTAGCTGGAGGACAGTAAGTTCCCCATTGCTGAATTATTGCACATTCCGGGACACATTTAAACAGAATAACAGAGTTGGAAGGAACTTTGGAGGTCTTCTAGCCCAAGCCCCTGCTTAGGTAGGAAACCCTACACCACTTCAGACAAATGGATATCCAACATCTTAAAAACCTCCAGTGTTGGAGCATTGACAACTTCTGGAGCAAGTTGTTCCACTGATTAATTGTTCTGTCAGGAAATTTCTCCATCCTTGTTATTATACCAGTTTTTCAAAGTGCAAAGATACAGTTTCAGGATCACAGATTTTAGGGACCTTTTCAGCAACTACTATGAATATTTTAGGATGTTGTGCAATTAGTTTTTTTTTCAGGAAAACTTACTGTATCAATCAGAACGCTGGGAAATGAGACATAGTGTTGTGGCCCGTCAGCAGCCCGTGCAGCTTGTAGCTGATTCCAACAGCGAGGAGGCTGGTGTGGTGCTGGCACTCGAGTCAGACAATGAGGAGGCTGGAGAAGATGTGGTGCCAGAGGCGGGGATTCAGCCAGGGCCTTCAGAACCTCCAGAAGCTCCCATAAGTGAAGAGGAAGAAGAGGAGGAACCTCTTCTCGATGCACAGGAGCACAGAGCTGCCAAAAGGCAGGAGTGGCTCCTCAAGAGGAGGTCTCCTCGAGAGTAAGGCTTGGGGCTAATTGGCCACTCCCTTAGCCTATTTAAGGAAGCAATTTGCAGGGAACAACTTCATTCATTCTTCTTCGCGTCTTGATCTTAGTTCTCTACAAATTGCTTCTGGGCTTTCTGCCAACCATAGTAAGATTGCGATTATTTATTCTTTGGATTCTTGTAGGCTGTTAAAAAAGTTAATTAACAGCTTTTGTTTGAAAAAGACTGATTTAATTTAGTAAACTAAGGTCTGTACAGACTTTGTTTGTGCTGTGTTCTTTGGGGTCCGTCGCTGGGGCAGAACACATTATTCTAGAACAGGGGTGGGCGACTATGGCAACTTTACACTCAGTGGCCTTAGATTTAGATTTTTCTGAGCCAGCCATGCTGTCTCTGGAATTCTGGGAATTGAAGTCCACAGGTCATAAAGTTGCTATAGCTACTCACCCTTGTTTTAGAGTCATTGTTCTGACCTAGGCTTCTCAAGAGCATAAAGCAGACTCCTTGTCCTGACAAAAAACCCTTGTTATTAAGTTACTGTGAATTCTTCTCATTCACATCCAGCAAAGCCTTTCAAGGGGGAATTTACAGTCACAGACTTTATCTGGCTTGGAGAGCTGCCAGGCCGATATCTTCAAAACTTGGCAAGGAGTCTCAGAGAGTCACAAACCAATTAAGCGAACTAATTGTCTCCTGCAAACTCACCTCCCCTTTCACTCCTCTTTATTCCCTATGGGAGAGGCCATTCATCATCCACCTGTGGCCTTACTCCCAAGTCGACCCTTGTCGTTTAGCTGTTCCCTTCATCTGGCAATTCTGTGCATGTGCACACTGGGAACAGGTTCCATCTGTTCATCTGCCTCACTGACATCTGACTCCGAAGGCAGCTGATAACTGGCATAGGGCCCTGGCCCCCTCTCTGCCTCGGATGCAGAGCCCTCATCAGAGCCTTCCCCAGACTCCAGGACTGGCCCATGTTCCTCCCCAACCTCCCCACTATCCAAATCTGCTGCCAGCTCTGCTGGCTGCTGGCCAGCCACAACAGTCATAGAGGCTTCCAAGCAAACATGAACTCCCTTCCAATTGCGATGTCCCGATTAGCCAAAATCCCATGTCATTTGCAGGGTGGAGGGAAAAGCAGCCTTGCATATGAACCTTAATTTTAAATTTGTATTTTTTAGTAATATTATCATTTTGTTAAAATACAGGTCAGTGAAGCCTTGCCTTTATACGTGATACTGTACATGCCCTACAGTATCTACCGGTAGTAAATAAGCCACAGTATAAATTTTGGCTAACTTTAGTAATAAGGTTTATAAGTATGCACATTATTTTAAGACTTTTCAGATTAATCTTCTTTTGCCAAGAATGAAAGGCTCTGGAAACTTGTTTTGTATTCTACTTTTATGTTATTTGAAAAAGGCAGTTGGGTTGTCACAGTTGCAACTGGGACATTCTTTGATAGTCCAAATATTATTTACTTTCTCTTTATATATTAAAATATGTCTTACGCAAAGGCGTTCTTTGGTTTCTATGCATTATGGCTAGGTTAAAAAAACAAAGTTTTTAGAGCTGCGTATGGGTTTAGATTTCAGTGAGTGTAGGATAGTATAAACCAGTCAGGGGTGGGTTCTACTTACCTTTACTACCGATTTGCAGCAGGAGCGCGCGCACTTCTGAGCATGCACAGATCACCCATGATGACGTCGCGGCAGGTGGGTGGAGCCTCCCACCGATTTTACTACCGGTTCTATAGAACCGGACAGAACCGGGAGCAACCCACCACTGAAAACAGTGTTTCTCAACCTTAGCCGCTTTAACATATGTGGACTTCCCAGAATTCCCCAGCCAGGATGGGCAAAATTAATTTGATCTGGAAGTGAAGACAGGGTTTATATTTCCTACTTCTTTCAGAGGGTGTCTCTATACTGAGGCTACTGGATATTCCTGAACCGTGGTGGAATGCTATGTGTATGAGGTCATTTTTCAGGAGGCAACTGGACTTTCTTGTTTTTTTTTTTCTTTGAAGACGCTTCTCTTCTCATCCAAGAAGCTTCTTCAGCTCTGACAGTACAATGAGGAATGGAAGGATTTATATTCCTTGCAGACAGCTGATCATTTGCATCCTTTTAGAGGGTCTTTGAAGCACTTGGAGGTTTATCTGTGTCCTCAGGGTCACCTGAGTTCCTGTAGTCTGCAATTTTTTCCCCTCTGGAAATCCATTCCTACTACCACACCTTCTAAAAGGATGCAAATGACCCTCTGTCTGCAAGGAATATAAATCCTTCCATTCAGTGGTGGGATCCTGCCAGTTTTAACAAAACTAACCTTCCATATTACTTTTGGGGAGTAACACAGTTAAGGCGGAACAATCCGTTCTGCTGCACGAATCAGCTGAGAGGATAAAAATAAGTAAAGTGCAGGGGCTGATCGTCAGAGCAAACTGATTGGCTCCCAGCTGATCGGCGGAGCTACTGATTCGCCCGAACCGGCTGAATCCCACCCCTGCTTCCATTCCCCACTATCCTGTCAGAGTTGAAGAAGCTTCTTGGATGAGAAGAGAAACGTCTTAAAAGAAAAAACAAGAAAGTCCAGTTGCCTCCTGAAAAAAGCACCTTTGGACAACCATGAGCTGGATGACTGAGAATCTTTACAGATGATAAAGTCAAAAGGTATTATTCCAATCTCACAGCAGTTTAATTGTTTGAAAGTAAGAGGTTTCTTCTCACCAGAGAAGTTTGATTTAGTCCCATCTTAGAGAAAATTGAGCTATCGGCAAGAGAGAGTCTTTAATATGATATGCACATTACGTTTTGTGTTAGAAATGTTTCTGAGAAGGATTGTACTGTAAATAACTCCCCCTAGTGCTTCTTATTGGATTCAAGAAAGAGCAGGCAAATTGGTATTTATATTTCCAATTCTTTAGCTTCCTTATAGTGTGCTTTTTATACCCAATAGCTCACATTCTATTCTATTTTCTACTTTATTTGATCGTCATGCAACCAGATTGCTTCTTGATTAACCCAAGAAAGTGAGAGATTGTGCAATGTTCTGAATAAAATATTGGCTGAATTGACTCGCTTAAGAAATTTTGCATATGTTTCCAAGGAAATATTTATTGAAGTTCTACTTCCTCACATATTACTAGAGGATTTTGTACGATTTATTTTTTATGAACATGATATTCTCAGATATCGGGAGCAAAATTACTAGAATTCCCAGGTACTGAATTTATTCCCCTCTGTTTTGTCTATAAGTATTCTCTAATATTTATGTAATTTCTTACCTGTTCTTTAAAATGTTGTAGGACAAATGTAAAAATCATTACATGATAAATTCATTCCATGACGCTATTGTCATTTTTAAGGGTTGAGTCACTTATATGTACTTGGGCAGCTATATAAATTTGTTTAATGGTTAGTCTAGTAAAGCAATAAGAGATTTAAAAAGGTAATGTACAGCTTCTATATATTCAATACTGTATTCCTTGTTATTCACCGTATTTGTGAGTTGATATCTTGAACAATAAAAGTTATCTGGTTATCCCAAGAGAATGCATATAATTTTTTTTGTCCTTGAATCAATCTCATGATCAAAAACGGGGGGAAAAACCATGGATGTCGAAATATAAAAGATATGCCTTCCCTTTCAATCAGATATTAAATAACTATATAAGTGAGGAATGGATCCATAAGAGCTCATGCAATAAATAGTTTGTCAACCTCTAAGGAGCCATAACTATATTTATTGTTGACATTGCTAATTTTGTTTTAGTACCCTTCAGACTCAATCTTAACACATTTTCAAGCAATTGCGAAGAATTGGAACATGTGTTGAAATAGAAGACAGAAAGCAAAGAAGCTCCTAATTTTAAAGGTTCTGCTCCAAGCTCAGGTTTTTACACTGCTCAATATATAAAGTACATCTATAAATGCCAGATCTCTATGAGACAATATGTAGCTAGTCATGACCTGGCATTACAACTTGGCAATTCTCCCTGGGATCTCACTGAGCAACAAGAGGGGTTTAGCTGGAGTAGTTCTGTTGGAAATTTGCTCCTCTTGGGTTTAGGTTCCATAGCAATTACAATGCCAAGGCTAGGGAGAATAACTCTAAAATCATTTGTGAGTCCTTGCAAGTGTTCAATAGCACCACTTGAATAAGAGTCATGGTGACGCAGTGGTTAGAATGAAGTATTGCAGGTTAACTCTGAATTCCACTGCCAAAAGTTCGATCCTCACCAGCTCAAGATTGATTCACTCTTCCATCCTTCCGAGGTCAGTAAAATGAGGAGCCAGATTGTTGGGGGCAATATGCCAACTCTGTAAACCGCTTAGAGAGGGCTGTAAAAGCACTATGAAGCGGTATATAAGTGCTATTGATATTGAATAACCAGAGAGAGAAGATTAAACCCTGCAGTAGCCAATTTTGGAGCCACCACAGGACCTCCTGTGTTCTCCTAACTTCTAACGGACTAGTCACCCAGAAGCAGAACAACTGCAAAACACGGTCTCCACCAGGAAATCTTACAGGAAATCCAGGAGGATATTAAGATCAATGATATTGAACACAACCACAAGGATGGTAGGATTGGCAGTTCAAATCTCACCAGGCTCAAGGTTGACTCAGCCTTCCATCCTTCCAAGGTGGGTAAAATGAGGACCCAGATTGTTGGGGGCAATAGGCTGACTCTGTAAACCACTTATAGAGGGCTGTAAAGCACTGTAAAGTGGTATATAAGTCTAAGTGCTATTGCTATTAGGAAGACACATGCCCCACCCTCCAGATTCCAACAATTAGCCACAGAATGACCAGTGTTGTTTCTGCCTCAGGTCCAAGCCCATATCCTAACAAAAGGGACGAGTCAAACACATTTCAGATCTCTAAGCATTAGCATTAATTTGTCACCAGAAATTTTCCAAAACGGGATACAGGCAAGGATTGGGAATGAGGAGTTAATGATTAGCTATATTTTTTGCATTAATTTATAACTGATTTAATCACAGTTGATTGATCAAATTAATTGACTGATTACAGATACATTAAGCCAAAATGAAACAACCCCTTATGATTTAGGGCAGTGTATAAAGCTAGTAATTGCCTTTAATGTGAAACTAATTCATTCTTAATGGCCTAAATTCACATAAATTTATTTGCTTCATTTACCCTGGGATTTACCTATAATTATAGAGATTGGACTGTTCATAGTTGGTTAAAGAAAATGATTGTGTCTTCATTGTAACTTTATCATTCATGGTTCTTCGGTCACAATTTTAATCATCTTTTGGTTAAACATGTCATCCAAACCTAGAGGATCCACCTAAGTTTTTAGCTGAGTCTGAAGTCAATTTAAACAGTTTCAAATTTCATGCTGAGCAACCATGATTTAGTGTCATATTTATTTTGATTAACATTTATTTTAACCCGATTCATGCAAGAAACAGGTTAAATCAGCTGTCGCCCACCTGATGTCCTCCAGACGTGTTAGGACTAGAACTCCCAAAATTTCAAACAGTATAGTTCAGGAAGGAAGAGTGCAATTCTACCCACTGGGATCTGCAAGCAAATTAACCAGATCAGATCAAAAAGACTATCCCTGACGGCAGCCTTCCCATTGCCTCCTTCTCCTTCCCTTTCTCTTCACCTCAGACACCTGTGCATCCGCTCTCCATTTCTTTGTAGCATCTGTTGAAAATGCTTATGGCTATCTCTAACAATAAAACAGTAATCTATTTGACTGATTTTTTTTTTTAAAAAAGCCAACATATGCTGAATTAAACAAGTCACTTTTGTAAGAATCTGAAGACCTTCCCTTGCATTAGAGCCTGTAGGCAGGCTGCATGTACATATCATGCTAAGCTATGTTTTAACCGTGACTTGTTTGACCAATTTCTAGCTTGTCTTGCTTCCTTTTGCACTTCTTGCACTTAAATGGCTGTTTAATTTAGTGTCCCAAAACAAACCAGGAAAATGCCAGGAGACCATAGGCAATGTATGTCTCCTTGTTGGCATATCACATTTGCAACACTTACTTAAGCCACTATTCATGCACCAAGCTAAGCTAAACAAGCAAGCTCATTATTGCTTAGTTCAATGTGGGAGCCTTTTGTGAAAATACATTTATATGCTAAGTTATTTACTACAGCCCTGCAGGGAATTTAAAGAGGGGGCCACATGCCTGCAGAAATGCTCCAAGTAGCATCATCAGATACATTTAAGGGAAATCAACCTCTCGAAATCTACGATTGCATTGGCTTTCTGTATTTATGCTGCTGCTTCAGCTGGTTCCTTTATCAAGGGCTCTTGACATTATAAAGCTGCTCCCCACAGCTTGTTTCTATTTAACTTTCCAGTGTCCCTGATGTAGGGTTGCACTGGGTATTATAAAAAATTAAAATTGGAAAATTGAATCCTGCTGCTTGAAAGGAGTCGTCTCTGGGCAGTCCTTCATGGTATTTCCATCTATTTGGCCTTTTTCTCAAGAAAGACAGTAGTTGGATGGTTAGACACCATTTTCCAAATGAGCGAAGCAGGTTTCAACTCAAGGTTTCAACCCGCTGGGTACCATAATTAGATGATGCATGAAACATTTCTTGAGCAGTGTTTTGTGATGCCCATATAGTTGATAAGCCAGATTTTATAACTTTGCTGTGTGCTTTCTGAATCTAGCCAATTGTCAGTTAATAACACACAATTAAACAAACCATAGCATAGCCTATTGTGTGAACATAGTCACAACATACAGAAGTCACTGTTCAAATTATTCCTGCCACCAGCCGAGATGATTCAATACCTGGAAGTTGCACTCGATAACAATGGGAGTTGGTTTACGAGTTGTCCATCCCTTCTCTAAAATGGAGATAAAGCACCTGGAGTTGAACCCAGAACAATGTTTCTTGAAATATTTTCTGCACTTGACAATGTTGCTGTAGGACTTAGACCTGGGATATTATCTTATATTCCATAATTACTTGTTTTATATTTATTTAATAAAGTATATATTAAAGTATAACTTCATTATACTGTATGTGTTATCATTGAAAGAGGAACAAGGCGAGCTGTTTCAGGAGGACAAACTAAGGACAATCAAACACAACCATACATTTTTCATTGAGAAATCTGTATTTATAAACGGAACAGAATTCTTTGTTTCAAAAGGACAAACTAATCCAATCACGGACGATATAAAATTTTCATGGAGAAACCTGTATTTATAAACTAATCAGGATTCATTCTTTCTTGAAAGAAAAAGTTAAGTCACATTTAAGGCACACATTTCAGAGATGCAGAATTTAAAAACCCAAACCACACCTTAGATATTCATGTAAAAGGAGAAGGTAGGCTCGAAAAAGAAATCACAGCAGAACAGTAAGTCTATTCAGAAATAGATTAACAGAGTCACATTCTTGTCTCTCTCTACTGATGTGATAGCAAAATTCAATCTTCATTCCTTCCTCTACTGTGCTCTTTGGGATTATCACAAAGGACGTCTAATAGAGCTGGTGGGCAGCAGACAGAGGAAGGCTGTATTGGAGAAATCTTTGTTGATGTATTGTTAAACAATAATTCTTTTTTTTTAAAGTCCAAGTTGAATTATGGGTCAGACTTGGTGGACATCTTTGAGCAGGGGTGTCAAACATGCGGCCCCCGAGCCGAATGCGTCACACACTGGCCACGCCTACCCGTTTTTAGAAAAGGGGGGGGGAAAGTCACGATATGTCAAGCGACGACAACATGACGCTGCGAGTTTGACACTCCTGCTCTTGAATTTGTTAGTTTTTTACATAGTTATTTTGCTATACATATTGCCATAAACTAAGTCTCTCTTTCCTGGGAGAAAAACCTCAATGGCTTAATTCCTGTATCTATCCAAGCAACACGAGGAAGTGCTAACTTTATGCCTTTACGATCTTTCCTTCGCACACTATTTTTACCCAGCAATGATGCTCAGGTTTGAAATAGTGATGTGGTTATTGCATTTATTTATCAATCATTTCTATCCCACCACAATCAAATTATTCACAGCAGCTTCATTATTCAATCCAGACTCTATCTTGGAGTGTTTAAACATCTAATTCCTAAATGCTGCTGTTGTGATACAGTATTTGCAACTCGCCTTAATGCCCAGAAGAATTAAATATCCTAATTGTGGTCCTTCTTAAGAGGTACTCATAAAGTTCTAAAAACCAAGGGACATAACTGGCAAACTTTCTGAGAGTTGGTGCTTTTTTTCCGTTCCTCTGCACAATACTTCTTTGAGTCAATTAGGAAAGAATGCTACATAATTCATACATTATCAAAAATGTCTTGTTCTTTATAAATCACTATCAAGACTCCTTGATGAAAGCTAAAAGCAAAAACGAAGTTGTGTTATATCTCTTGGAAGTGTGAAGCTTATTTCCTTGTGGCAAAAGTTAAAGCTTTCTTCGATTTCCCTAATCAGGACATAAATCTTTTCCAGAGTACAGTACAGCTAAACAATAATCGTACATCTTTTCCTGCTTCGTACAGCCAGGATACAGATTCCCAAATAACTCTTTCCTTGTACTTATGGGGTATTTCCTGAGAACAGGCACTTTTGCATTCCATGGAGACAGATAATCAGGTTTGATTTAAGCAGAACACTTGCTAGTCCCAGAAAAGCAGCTGGGACTATTTCTCCCAGGTATAGAAAAATCAACAAATCTGTATGAATGTCTTTTAGTTAGGATGGTTGTCTTCTCAATTATCAATTCCAGTGATTGAAAAAGTTAGGATCTTGAATCAAAACACAGATTAAAAAAACAACAAGTTTAATAATTGCTAGGAGGCCCTTGTTGACTGCGTCTAGCTGGCAGGAGCAAATGACCAGATGATCGAAAGCACATCGTATGACATTTAAAAGGGCAAGTCTTCAACCACTCTGTTGCATGGCCATTTTGACATTATTTGCTTCCCTCCAGACCAGAGGTCTCCAACCTTGGCAACTTTAAGACTTGTGGACTTCAACTCCTAGACTCCTAGCAAAGCTGGCTGAGAAGATCTGGGAGTTGAAGTCCACAAGTCTTAAAGTTGTCAAGGTTGGAGACCCCTGCTCCAGAAAATCTGGGGTACTTGGATGAGTTACCATGAGGAAATATCGGGGCCCTGGGCTAGGAAATTGGGGGGAGGGAAAGCACCCCAGAAGAGGGCAAAGGAAAATAATTTTCATTTCTTTACCCATATGTTCCTAGGTGGACTTGTCCCTGAAGTCACCAGAAGCTAAACTGGACTCAAGCATTTCATATTTCATAAGCAGATGTTCACCCACGTAATTCAATCAAGGATTCTGGAGGGGGAATTTTTTTTTCCCCCCAGGATGACATCCCTAAATCATGAGACAGCATATCTGTTTGTATCTGAACAAACTATCCGGTGATATTATTTGTTTCTTCAAGGTAGCAGTTTCCCTTTCCTCCTTTCCGAAACAAACTGATAGTGAAGACAAAACCCTCAACTTCATGCCCGAATGGAAAAAAAAAAACCCAGTACACAGTAACAACAAAACCGACATGAACAAGTTAATAAGAATCGCTGGGATAACAAAATTGCAAACATTAATATTTTGCAATAAAGACAACCTGAGAATCCCTCCCTAGTACGGCCACATGAAAGGGACTCGGAACAAAATCCTCCATAAGAACTTGTCAAGGGGAAGGAGATGTGGGATTTCTCCTGGAGAAATAATATGAGCAGATTCATTTTCTCCTTTAATTTCCTAGTTTTTGAAGCGAGGGCTCTTACCGCAGGCTAACAGGGAGCAGCAGATAGCCGTCTTCTTAGACTAAGACAGAGGACATAAGGTTTGCAAAGACTTACCCACTGAGTTGGAAAGAATCAAAATCTACAATTTCCTGATGATTGATGGAATTGACTATGTGGGCTGACTGTTAAGAGCTCGGTTTCTTAAAAAGGCAAGGGTTTTTTTTTTGGCTTTAGGCTCACATCAATGTTTCTCAACTGTGGCAATCTGAAGATGTGTGGACTTCAACTCCCAGAATTCCCCAGCCAGCATTGCTGGCTGGGGAATTCTGGGAGTTGAAGTCCGCACATCTTCAAGCTGCCAAGGTTGAGAAACAGTGACATAGTTTCTATTCACATTCACACTTGAATTAAAACAGGATAGACTCCGTTTCCTTTGTAAAAGGCTCTGTTGAATCAGGCTGCTTGTCTCGATTACTGTGATCATTGCTGTAAAGTCAAGGCGGCCATTTGTGGGACTCTATGAAATTAATTGTCATTGTTTGATTTATGTATGTGCATTTACACATTTATATACATATGCACACCAGTGATGGGTTTCAATTTTTTTTACTACCGGTTCTGTGGGTGAAGCTTGGTGGGCGTGGCCTGGCTTGGTGGGTGTGGCTTGGTGGGCATGGCAGTGGAAGGATACTGTAAAATCTTCATTCCCTCCCCAATCCAGGGGAAGGTTACTGCAAAATCTCCATTTCCTCCTGATCAGCTGGGACTTGGGAGGCAGAGAATAGATGGGAGTGGGGCCAGTCAGAGATGGTATTTACCGGTTCTCCAAACTACTCAAAATTTCTGCTACCGGTTCTCCGGAACTGATCAGAACCTGTTGAAACCCGCCTCTGATGCACACGCATGCATATCAATGATGGGTTACCCCCGGTTCGGACTGGTTCACAAGAACCGGTAGTAAAACCAGCGGGAGGCCCTGCCAACCATCCCGGATGTCATCATCGGCGATCTGCGCATGCACAGAAGCTTCCCGTTGCGAACCGGTAGTAAAGGTAAATAGAACCACCCCTGATGCATATACTCCTCAGTTAGGACGTTGTGCTCTTAATCTAAGGCAGTGTTTCTCACGCTTCAGAACTTTAAGATGTGTGGACTTCAACTCCCAAAATTCCCTATCCATTATGCTGATTGGTGAATTTTGGGAGTTGAAGTCCACACCTCTTAAAGTCACTAAGATTGAAAAACACTGATCTAAGGTGATCATAAACTTTTCAGATAGGGACTCCACATTCAGCCTCATATAAAATTTGCCATCAGGAAATTGACTGACTGGCTTCCTTTTCTTACATGGATGCAAACCACTTTTCTGTTTGAAAACTCAATCCCAAGGTATAACTTATTAAATAATTTTACAAACAATAGTATCTTGCCCTTCAAAAAAAATTCTCTTAGAATGCTTTATAATACATTAAAATAAAAAAACTGAAATCAACTAAAAATAGTAAGAATGCGCAATAAATTAAAAAAAAAGTATATTAAAGCCATTGAAGTCTATGGATCTTGCTTCTTAGTACTGATGTCTGGGACTGAAGTGTCAGTCAATCTCCTAAGTATTAACAGAGGGAATTCAAGGAAGAGCAGGCAGTTTCAGAGTCATATTCCTATTTGCAGTATCACACCTATGATTATCATGATTAACCCATGTGTCTGCCAAAAATAATTTCAGATCCCAGCAAGATTTCAGATGCAGTTTGATTATCAGTCCACCAAATAACCTGTTGATTGGGACAAAAAAATAGATGTTTTTTTGTAGTCCTGAGTAGAATATAAGAATACAAAAAAAGAAAAAGAAAAAATAAAGTATGAAGAGAAATTCCTTAATATATCTTGCATTCTATGCAAAGATCAAAGAATTGATTGACTTTAATCCAAAGGCATCAATTTTAATTTTTTGTTTTTTGATTGTTAAATTTCCTCAAAAAAAGAGACCATTGTCTTTAAAAAGAGGGTATAATCCTCTTGTAACACGCTATGTAAGGCATTTCAATTCTGGCACCTTTCTGTTCGTAGTCATTCACAATATTATTTTGTTTTTTGGTGATAGACAATTTGTCCTTCAAACATTGTAGATCCTTCAGGATTTTAAACATCATGGAAGCCTCTGTTAATCATTTATTGATCCATTTGTTTTTCAACACCATTGCTTTTTTAAAAGTTTTGCTATGAATGAATTGAAAGCACTCTGTTTTTTTTTTTAAAAAAATCCATACAAAGAAGGCACCATAAAGAGACTCTTCAGTGAGCAAAGACTGTGATTTGCTGGTGAGAACGTTTTTCACACTCTGAAAATCAACTATTTGGACAGAAGATTGTGGAAAACAGGATCATTCTCTTGCTAGTTCTTTCCAGCGGTTAAATGAAAAACTCCCCATTTTGTCTTTTTTGTTTGTTTGTTTGCTTTGCTTCAGCATCAAAATTTGTGCTGTGATCGCCGTGGAAAATAGAAGGAGTGTCTTCTTAGCGATGTGTCCAGACAAAATGCAAAATGAGATTCAGAAGTGGAAAGATGTGTCAGATATTCACCACACGTCGATTCCACATGCCCCTCCTGGAATGGTAGTGGTGGAGGAAATTCCTGATATAAAGTCGGTCTACCTCCAGGCCTGCCTGAAATACCCTGTAAGAGAAGGTGGAGGAAATTTCAATATTGATTTATCAAATTTATATAGCATCCCATCTCCTGACAAGTGATTTTGGATGATGCGCAATGACGTAAGAATACAATCGGCATCATTTCTGACCTACTGTTTACAGTTAGTCCTCAACTTAGTATTTATTTATTTATTTATTTATTTATTTATTTATTTATTTATTTATTTATTTATTTATTTATTATATTTCTATACCGCCTTTCTCCTGTAGGACTCAAGGCGGTGTACAGTCAAGAAAAATATAGATACACAAACATCATAAAATTGCTAATTAAAATTATTATTATAACATAGTTTGGCCCAATTAAATAGAACCTAAAATTAGATAACATTTTAAAAACATTCACATGTTCATATGTTTAGCTCCGCCTGTTGGAACATCAGGGTCTTGAGGGCACGGCGGAAAGCACAGAGATCAGGGATATTTCGTATCTAAGGGGGCAGTTCATTCCAAAGGGTTGGAGCCCTCACAGAGAAGGCCCTCCCCCTGGGAGTCGCCAGTCGGCATAATTTGACTGACGGTACCCTGAGTAGTCCCTCCCTGTGAGAACGAACTGGTCGGTGGGAGGCTATTGGTGGCAAAAGATGGTCTCGTAGGTACCCAGGTCCTAAGCCATGGAGCACCTTAAAGGTGATGACTAACACCTTGAATCACAATTGGGACCAGAATTTGAATTTCCAAGCAAGGCAGTTGTTACATGAATCGTGCTTGATTTGATGACATTTTTTGCCATTGTTGTTAAGGGAATCATGTGGTCGTTAAGCCAACCCAACCTCTCCCATTCACTTTGCTTGTCAAAAGGTCATAAAATGGTGATCACATGAGCCGGGGATGCTTATAAATTATTATAAATATTTATGATATTATTTATAAATACATGCCTATTGGCAAGTGCCTCAATTCTGATCACATGACCATGGGGATATTACAATGGTTGTAAGAGCGAGGATTCATTGTGACTTTTTCCAGTGCTATTTTAACCTTGAATAGTCGCTAAAAATTAGTTTATACATTGAGGACTGCCTGTATAGATCTTGGGTGCTAACAGTTACACTGTAAACTGTTATGTGATTTGTTTGTTTTGGGTTTAAACATAGCTACTTTGGATGGCAAACAATGATTTATAGTGTTTGCTTTACATGTGAGTCCAGCCACAATGATCTCTCCTATAAAACCAGTACTGGGTTCCACTTATCTTCGCTACTGGTTCGGAACTGTGACTGCGCGTGGCCCTTCTGTGCATGCGCAGAGCGTCCGTGATGAAGTCTGGGTGGATGGGCAGAGCCTCCTGCCACAGCCACTACTGATTCGCCCGAACCGGGGTGAACCGGTAGAAACCCACCACTGTATAAAACACATTTAACAGCCACTCTGTCTTTGCTTTGATGCTAAAATATGAGACAACTTTGCCTTGGCCAAATGCCTCTCATCCTGAGTTGTCTCAGATTCTTATGCCAGGGCCTACTGCCTTAAGAATGTTCCTCTCAGTGACACACAATTGAGTTCTATCATATGATAACAAAATAGGTAAGTTATCCTTACTCCTCCTTCTTTTTCAAAATTTGGAGATTCTTTGCTTTTTGCTTCTTAGAATTAATATACATTTTAAAATGCAAGAAAGCATTCTAAGCAAGGTTGTATGAAAAATTGTTAAAATCAGCTCCAAGGGCTACGGGGAACCGGTTCGGTGACATCATATCGTCACCGCTACCGGCTTGGCAGAACCGGGCCGAACCAGGAGGAACCCACCACTGCCTTACTCCCAAGTCTTTAGCTGTCCCCTTCGTCTGGCAACTCTGTGCATGCACACACTGGGAACAGGCTCCAGCTGTTCGTCTGCCTCACTGATGTCTGACTCCAAAGGCAGCTGATAACTGACATATCACTTTGGCCCCCTCTCTGCCTCCAACACAGAGCCTTCATCAGAGCCTTCCCCAGACTCCAGGACTGGCCCATGTTCCTCCCCAACCTCCTCACTGTCTGAGTCTGCCACCAGCTCTGCTGGCCGCTGGCGGGCCACAACAATTCCAAAGGGCTCTCTAGACCTGGTTATATTATCAGGCCTGGGTCTTTCAGGGCACTAAAAACTTGCTAAGAAGGTTCCGTTGACGAGGCGGCCATTTTTATCCCTCTCTGTGCCTAGAGTTTATATCTTTAGTTTTTGTGGCATTTATTAATATGTTTTTTTTATATTTGTAGTTTCTGCACTATTGTGCCCTAACCAGGTTCCCTTTGGTGAGATAGGAGAGTATATAAATTTGATTCATAAATAAATACAGAGACAATGGCCGAGTTCTGACAACATACTCAAATTGATAAAGGGGAATATTTGTAGCTCAGTGTTGAAATGAGGAATCCTTGGTGCTCTCTGATCTATATGCATAGGCATGAAGAAGATTTAATTGGCTTGCAAACTTCAAACTCCGAGGACTAGCAGCATCAGCAAGGAAATCTAACACTATAGCAAGCAATGGGAACAGATCTAAAATTGAAGACATAAAATCCTAATGAGATGCAATTGCTCTTTCACTGAAATTTTATCCCTTGGTGTTTTTCCACAGTAGCAAAATATTTTGAAACCTACCACTGGTTGAAGTCCACAAGTCTTAAAGCTGCCAAGTTTGGGGACCCCTGACCTAAGGTCACTCAGTTGGCTTTCATGCCTAAAGCAGGACCAAAATCACGATCTCATGCTTTCTAACCTGGTGCCTTCACCATTAGACCAAACTGGCTCTCTTACTGGTGAAGGTAAAGCCATACTCAGTTAAAGTAAGCAGAATAAAACATTCCCATTATCTGAAGAAAGCAGTTATTCCACAAGTATAGAGAAATTAGCTATGATTAAATTATTTTAAAAAAAAACACTACACAAAATATTATCTGCTATTGAACTGTCATTTGCCCATAACCAACCCCTTACCATCTGGCTGTTGTGAAGTTGCACCACACGACAATCTCATAACTATGGGTGCAAAGGCCATTTTCCCTTCCACGCAGTGCTTCCGAACAGAGTCAATGAACCCTGCTGGGAAATGGATGTGCAAATCACAAAGAAAAATGATGCTGTGGGAATCCTGTAGGCAAAGATATAGAGCTGTTAATTTCGCTACTTCCTAAGTTATTGGGCTTGTCTCCACAGACTCTTTTGCCCCAGACCTAAGGGTGGCCCCTTAACTTTTATAGAAGACAAATCCTGGTACCATCCTCTTGTCATCAGCCTGCTGCTGAGGCAGGCTGAAGCCAGATCAAAGGGATCCAACGAAACACAACAAAATATCCAATGCTGTATGAAGGAAGAGTCTGAAGCAGTGGTGAAATGTAAAAATTGTTACTACCGGTTCTGTGGGCGTGGCTTGGTGATGGTGGGGGGGTAATGTGACTGGTAGGCATGGCCAACTTTTTTTTTTTTTTAACTTTTAAAAGCATTTTTTCTACAACCTCTTCGGCCGAAGAGGTTGTAAAAAAAAATGCTTTTAAAAGCCTCTGACGATCAGGCAACTCAGCTGGGATCGTCAGAGGCTTTTAAAAGCATTTTTTTTACAACCTCTTCAGCCAAAGAGGTTGTAGAAAAAATGCTTTTAAAAGCCTCTGATGATCCCAGCTGAGCCGTGCGATCATCAGAGGCTTTTTTTTTTTTACTTTTAAAGGCATTTTTTCAGCCGAAGGGGTTGTAGAAAAAATGCTTTTAAAAATTGAAAAAAAAGCCTCTGATGATTGCACGGCTCAGCTGGGCATGGGGCGGGGGGGGGCAGGGATTTTTGCTACCGGTTCTCCAAACCACCCGCCTCCATCACTACCGGATCAGGCAATCCGGTCCGAACTGGGAGCATTTCACCCCTGGTCTGAAGGCTGGGTTAGACTTCTCCATCACTGCACATCACTGAACCACCGTTCAGAGATGGTTGCATAGCTGTTGCATTCATATTTCTGTGAATGTTAATGTTCTGGCCAAGGGACACTCAAACTGCAAAGCACCAAGAGGAAGTAGGATCAACCAATTAGCATGCAGGACGTGTGCAGATTGGGATTTGAGAGGTGTGTGGATCGGCCTGTTTTCAACTATTTGCAACTGATGCTTACCTATCAACCCTTTTGCAGTGTAGGTATGCGTTGACGCCTATGTGCAGTTGTGGACAAATCTAAATCAACCTTTAGGGAGGCCGGTGAGGCTGCCACTTTGCAGAATCATCTCTTCCAATTAGGCCATGGGCTTCTCCTCTATTTCTACTCTGACTGCTGAAGAGAATATTCTTTTCTATTGGTTTTGTTCCAGTTTAGAAATGTAAATCTGTCAAGTCTTCCCATATGTACAAAATCCCACCACAGGACAAGTATCTTTTGAAAATGCAGAAATTATTTTGAGCTTGTAGGAAACAAAAATTCTTTCCTTTTTTTTCTTAATAGCTAAAATATTGCAATTTTCAATGTTAACATTGAAAAGTTTAATAATTAATTGTTTAGGTTAATTTTTCTCTAGCTTGTCCATTGCCTTTTCTCCTTTCCTTAGAAAAGGTATTTTCCCCTATTTTCCAATCTTCTTCTGAATAACTGATTGTCTCTAGACTAAACATCATCTTTTTTAAAAGAACTATCTATTCATTTGATTTTATTCAATTCATGAGCCATCTGACTCCCAACTGATTCTGGGAAGCTCAAAATGTGATAAACAATAAAAATACAATACAGAACAAAACACAGGAATTGGAAGATACAAGGTGTTTATAATTTGGAAGAATGGTATAAGGAGGTATGGGATATTGCCATAAATGATAAATTGACCTGCAATATTAAAGTAAGGAGGGGTATAATGAAGGTAAACGATTTTAATGGAATTTGGAAACAGTTCCTAACATATGTGTTTTCTGGAGGAAGAGGGATACCACCGCCAGAAGAAACTTTAAGATTCTGGAAGCAAGCATGATCCCGAGGGGTGGGGGAGCACTTGTTGTTTGTTTGTATTCTGTATATTGCTATATATTATATATTATGATTCATGTATGTTATATATGTTATGTATGTTAATTTCTTTTTATATATGTTAATAATATATATATATATATAAAAAAGAACAAAACACAGTTCTAATAGGATCTCACCGTCTTATACAAAAACATAGCCAGAGAAACAAGGGACTCCATCCATCTTAAACCCAAAGCTTGGGAGAACCTCCAGAGCTTCAAAGCTTGATGGAATACCAATAAGGTGGTAGCCACATGGTTTTCAGTGGGAGATCAGTGACAGAGAAGATGTGCTTCCTGGGATCCTATAAATAGCACTGTTTCATCAAAGAGACCTAAAGAACACCAGTTGTGCCAATGTGTACCAGCCAGGCAGAAACTATGGGAGATAGTCCCTCAGATAACCTGGCATGTGCCCGATTGAGCTTTATAAGTAATGCGTGATAAGTGTTAGTTTGGAAGCAAACTAACAGTTAATGCAGCTTGTGAAGCAGAGGTGCCAATATAGCTGAGTCATCTTATTTGGAAATCATTGTGCTAAGGTGATTATCTTTAAATGCCTTTTCCTTATAGTTGTAGCCATATAACACTCTACATTACAAAACTCTTACCACTCACCTTGACTTTGTCTATGCCAGCCTGCAGACCTTTAGACCTCTCAAAATTCCCAGACAATCGCAAATATTGGTAGCTGGAGAGAAGTGAGAGAAAATGGAAGTTATAATCGTGACAGAGTGAGCTGTGCAAGTTCTTGCAATCCTTTCTCAAATCTGTTATAAATCACCGTCTGTTTTAAAATAAAACTGTTTCTTAATTTGAGTCTTCCATCCATAAAATTAAAAATCTGAAAGTAGAGTTTGTGACCAGGGGTGGGTTCTACTTAGCTTTACCACCTGTTCACAATGGGATCGCGTGGGTGCACTCCGTTCGCTTGTGAGCGTGCCTTGCTTCTGCGCATGCGCAGAAGCTTCTGCGCATGTGCAGATTGCTGATGACAACATCCGGGGCGGTGGGCAGGGCCTTCCGCCAGTTTTACTACCGGTTCTTGCGAACCGGTCCAAACTGGGGGCAACCCACCACTGGTTGTGACTTGTCATTCCTACAAGCAAGAGGACGTAGTACTGGCAAGGTAAATTTGCTGCACCTCACTCAGGGGTGGGATTCTACCGGTTTGGACCGGTTTGGGAGAACCGGTAACTCCAACTATCAGCTGGGAGTGAACTGGTTTGCTCCGACGATCAGACGTCCGCCCTGCGCTTTACTGACCTATATCTTCTCAGCTGATTTGCACGGCAGAGTGGATTGCCGCGCCTCAGCTGTGTTACTCCCCAGCAATAATGCAGAAGGTAAGTTTTCGTAAAACTGCAAAGCGCGCAATTGCCAAACTGGTATATAAACCGGCAGGATCCCACCACTGACTTCACTGTGAGTAAATACAGCAAGTGAACTTTTACAAGTGAAAGGAGTCAATTATAGGTAGAATTAACTGGATGACTCAGATGAAGACTTTAGGAGAAAGGTAAGTGTTTGTTTTTTCTTTCAATCATCAACGATTTATAACATGGTTAAGCCTAAACTCCTAATAGATATGGTGGGATTTCACTGAATACCTCTCTGATCTTGTAAAAACTCATGTAAGACTAAACATGTTTCAAGATTTGGCATTCTCAAGAAATACTCGATCATTTTTGGGTGACTTGGCTTTTCAAACAAATAGGCTGAGACTGATTCCGGGCTTTATTATTTACTACTAATTAATTATTTGGATTAAATTATGATTTTATTGTACTTGTTTCTTAACTTGTGTTCGCCGCCCTGAGTCCTTCGGGAGAATGGCGGCATATAAATACATGTAATAAATAATAAATAAATAAATTTTTGGAGATGATTCTAAATGCTGAGTTAATCATGCATAAATCTAGAATTGAGGGTGTCCTTATTTTGAATTCAACAAGAAACTCCAAACTGGCTAGTGAACTAATCCAGTGCTCCAGAATGGAAATGGGTGATAAAAGAGAAATTCATAGCCTTAGAAGTCAGTGGAACTTCTTTCACTAATAAATGTCATTACAGCATCAACTCTTTATAGGTTTGCTATAGGGTGACTTCGGTTTCTATTTGAAAATATGTTTCCTGAAGGAAATAGATCCTTACCTACGCAAGGTGGACTGTTTCAGAGCTTTTTCTACATCCATGTCATCACTGCTGTAGTCTACGATGATGACATTGAAATAGGGGTCCTTAGTAATCCTAAAGAGCTCTTCCATGTCAAGAATGAACTGTTTCACCCAGCGGGCCTGATTTTTCACTGATCGAGAGAAGAAGGAAAAGAAGGGAATCAAAGCAAGATCAGCATTAAGATTGGACCGAGCTGCCCCAAATACAAGATTAGGCACAAGGCTTAGTGCCAGATTAAATATTTTATACACATAGTCCTTGATTTACAACCTATCGTTTGGTGATCACTTGAAGTTACAGTGGTAGCAAAAGAAGAGACTTATGACCATTTTTAACACTTACGATGGTTGCAGGATCTCCACAGTCATGAGATCAAAATTCAGACACTTGGCAACTGTATTTATGACGGTTGCAGTGTCCCAAAGTCACATGGTCCCCTTTTGTGATCTTCTGACCAGAAAAGTCAATGGGGGAAGCCAGATTCACTTTACAAGTGTGTTGCTAATTCAACAACTGCAATGATTCAGTTAACAACGATGGCAAGAAAAGTCGTAAAATGGGACAAAACTCATTAAACAACAGTCTCGCTAAGCAGCAGAAATTTTGGGCTCAATCGTGGTCCTAATTCAAGGACTACTTGTATGTATAACACAGTACTTGCAGCTCCTGTTAAATCAGTAGGTGGGAATCATGGTCCAGTGGGGCTATGCTCAACATCAGCTAATGTGCCAGTTGTGACCTCACTTGAGACTTTAAAAAAAATCTGACACTGCCTCACATTTTCATTAAAGGCCTGGGGGCCGGATCCAGCCCACGGGGTGCTTAGTTCTGGCCCATGGGGCTGCCCTGGAAACAGCAAAGGACCGGCCCATGGTGCCTCTGCCAGCGAAAATGGAGCTCGGGAGGGCAGCCCTCCCGAGCTCCATTTTTGCTGGCAGAAGGTTGCAGGGTGCTGTCGCAGGTGAAAACGGAGCTCGGGAGCCCGTTTTCACTGGCAGAGCATTCGAGCCACCACAGCCGCCCCCAACACGAGTGACGTCAAGCTGGCCACGCCCATCCCGGCCCCTTGAATTCAAACACAACTCTGATGCAGCCCTCAATGAAATCAAGTTTGACAACCTTGGGCTAAAGCATCAGACCTTACATGGGATGCTTTAAAGGCCACCTGGAAATTTTGGTTGGTGCAAAATGCATTGCCTTGGAAATGTTGCTTTTCAGTCAGTGGGTCAGCCTCTGGAATTGCCTCCCCCTCAGAGGTCTGGGTGATATTGTAATCTGGCCAAAACTGAAAAAAATATTTTCAAAGTTCCTCGGGGTGCGATGTGAGGTCGTCTGTTATCAAGTTTTAAATGTATTTTCTGCATATTTTTAGTGCGACAAATAGTCAGATACCAAGTATCCAAATATTAGGATGGCTCAGTACTAATATTTAAAGTTTAAAGAGCCGTGGTGGCGCAGTGGTTAAAATACAGTATTGCAGAGTTAATTCACTGCTCACTCCAGGAGTTCGGATCTCACTAGGCTCAAGGTTGACTCAGCCTTCCATCCTTCCGAGATGGGTAATGAGGACCCAGACTGTTGGGGGCAATAGGCTGATTCTGTAAACCTCTTAGACAGGGTTGTAAAAGCACTATGAAGCGGTATATAAGTCTAAGTGCTATTAATATTTGCCCTATATCATTTGAAAGAGAATTCTGAGTACGAGATGTATAACTTTGAAAAAACAGGAAAGAGAGAGCAGCATTTACAAGAGTAACTGGAGTTGCCGAATGTAAATCTAACATAAATCCTGATGACTTAAATCTAGGAACAAATTGTGGCAGAGGCCTTTCATTCTCTTATTTTGAACAGCTAATTAAATCTAATTCTAATAGAAGAGGATATCTGTAGCTCAGGGTTGAACTGTGGGATCCTTGGTGCTGTCTGAGTCACCGAGCATCAATTATTCCATAAATATAATTCCTTCTGGTTAAAGGGAGGACCTCCAAGTCTATTGTTATTCTAGCAATACACACACCATTCCGTTCGCTTAAAAGATATCAATTCTGTCCCATTACCGGGCACTATAAAGTGGACAACCGCACGGTGGTTCCATAAGAAGTTTAACGGCCAGCAGAGCACAAGCTCATCCTTGCTGGTCATCAGGTGACGTTGGTTGCCCCGCGCCAACTCCTTCATATTGGCTTCCTCCTCTCTGCTGCTGACTCCTTGCCAGCCACGTGCGTAGACATATTCTGAGAAACGGACTCGGCGTTCTCCCTGCTCCAACAGTTCCAGCTCCAGAAAGTAACGGCTGCCCCTTAGGTAGTCTTGACGCTTCTCCACATTCAAGATGCGCTCTAACTGGAACCGCCTGGAAATGGGAGCACTCTAGTTTAGATTTTGGGGTTAGGGCTGGAGCCCACCAAGCATAGCTCCACTGCCCTGATGCTCAGCAAAGATCTTCCATGTATTTTCTGCTTGATTTAGTTCAGTTTGGACTGCTAAAGATCTTTCAGATATCCTTAAGACCCTCATTATATTATCTTTTCTAAATAGCTACCCTGTTTCCCCTAAAATAAGACATCCCCTGATAATAAGTCCAATCGGGCTTTTGAGCGCATGCACTAAAATACCCTCCCCTGAAAATAAGCCCTCCCCAAAAGTATTTAAACACATGCTTAGCCGGTCCCCGCCATTTCCTCTGGTTTCCTCCACGCGCCCCAAAATAATAAGACCTCTCTGAAAATAAAGCCAAGTGCTTATTTCGGGGATCAAAAAAATAAAAGACAGGGTCTTATTTTTGGGAAAACACGGTATTGTTGTTTTCTACTCACTTTAGGGAATATCATCATGCAGTAGGTAAAAACATGCACTGGGTTTGTTAAAATGGGGCATCTGCTATAACTTTTTATTTGCTTTGGCATTCAGCATCCCATGATTCGACTATTATCTAACTGACTATTAGACAATATTGACTAATATTCAGAGGTGGGATTCAGCCGGTTCTGTCCGATTCGGGCGAACCGGTAGTGGAGATGGCGGGAGGCTCCACCCACCCACCTGGATGTAATGCGTGAGCGCTCACATATATGAACCGGTAGGGAAGGTAAGTGAATCCCACCTCTGCTAATATTGACTAATATTCAACTATTATTCAACTAATCCATGTAAGCAAATTATTCGTGGCCTTTTGCTTATGTGGATTAAAGAAGAAAAAGGATAAGACAATTTTAATGCCTCGGCTGATTGCACAGACCTAAATCCTGAAAGAAGTGCAGCTGTTTACATTATTCTCTTAGAACACTTCATTTGTCAGCAGAACAATTGCAATGATCTGTGAGGAGGACCTTGGGAGAAAGGGAAAAGGAAAGTTGCCGAGGGAACAAGTCAAATAAGAGACGGCATAGCCTTCAGTTCCAAACTGGGTGGAGAAAGCAGTTCAGAAAGGACTCTCTCTAGCTTCTCAGGCTGTAAAGAGACGGCAGGAGATCTGTTCTTTCAGACTTGCAAGATTTCTGTTAATGTAGACTTACAATAATTAACTCATATGGCCATGCTTTCTGACTGGTCTACCTGGGGAGGCTGACAGTGGTTTTTAAACCACATTTAATACATTTAGCATATACAGGTAGTCCTCAACTTACAATGGTTCATTTAGTGATCATTCTATCTTATAACGTCACTGAACAAAAACATATGACTGTTTTTCACGGTTTTTATGACCACTGCTACATCCCCATGGCCACATGATCAAAATTCAGATGCTTGGCAATTGATTCCTATTTATGATGTTTGCAGTGTCCAGCGGTCAAGTGAACCGCTTTGGTGATACCTTCTGATAAGCAAAGTCAATGGGGAAACCAGTCTCACTTATTCATTTACCAGCTGCAGCGATTCACTTAACAACTGTGGTGAGAAAAGAAATTTAGCAACAGAAATTTTGGCTCAAATTGTGGTCGTAAGTCAATGACTACCTGTGTACATCATCTCCCTGGTTGTGGTACAACTGCATGCTTGTGAGAACCCTGTTTAACTGGAGGTATATCTTATTGGGTACCTAGGACTGACCACTAGTAAGACTTTGCATCCAAGATCAGCAACCTTGTTCCAGCTGCATATCGCTGCCTTGCCTACTTAGCAGTGAGATTTGGCTACATGATTTGAGATTTTCATTTGGGTAAATCTCTCAATGTATATGTATATGTATGTATGTATATATATATATGTGTATGTGTATATATATATGTGTGTGTGTTTATGCATATGTATATGTGTGTGTGTATGTATGTATGTATGTATGTATGTATGTATATATATTAAGTGTTTTTCTGTTGAAGCCCCTGGTCTACCCCAATATGGGAGGGACCATACTGCTTCCCTTTCGCCTTTCAGCTCCAATCAATATGGGAGGGAGCAGTATGCTCCCTCCCATATTGGGGTAGACCACGGGCTTCAACAGAAAAACACTTAATCTCTCCCCTGGCTCAAGCTGATAAAGGGAGGAGAACTTGTGGCTCAGAGGTTAATACAATTGCTTAATATGCAGGCAGCCCAAGTTCGAATCCAAGTAAGGGTATGGCTAGCTGATGAGAGCTGAATAGCTTGTACATATAGAATACAAGCTGTTTAGAATTTCATTTTTCATGGGGGCCAGTGTGCTTACAGTAAAAAATGACAATAAAGGTTATCTTATCTTATCTTGGTCTGCCAACTAGAAATATCTGAACAGTAGAAACAAAAGTAAAGCCCTCTTACTCTACATGCCTTACTTCCTAAGACTTTAATAAAACATCATCACACTGAGATCCGGAGTTACTCCCAACTACTTATTTAGGCTTCTATAGTGCATAATGAAATCCCATTTCATGTTGCGTACTACAGTTCTCAATCTGTAAAGATCAGAGCGGCTGCAAGTTCCCTTCCATCTTACCCTTTGGTCGTCTGGTTCAGTTTTTTAAGGAATACTTGAACAACCATTAAGGCTTCCTTCTCCTTTAAGAGCAGGTTCCCGGAAGTGTTACACTTCAAATCAATCCAGTCTGACCGTAAAACTTGGAAGTCTACATTGCTGGCCTTGAAAGTCTGCTTCCAATTCACTACTGGGTCATAGAGAAGAGGAGAAGGAACAAATACGTCATCTTCATCTTCTTCTTCTTCCACTACTGTAACATGCTCTTCCTTTCGGGTTGCTTGGTGGGAAGAATCAGTCCTGACTTGCTGCTTGGAATCTAAATCCCTCGTGCCGATAATGACATTAGCGGCATCAGCGGCTTTATGTTGGGCTATGTAGGAGTCTACTTGATTAAGCCATTGGTCCTCATGCATAGGCTGTTCTCGGGGGGTTCCCTTGCCAGTTTCCTCTTCAACTTTTTGGGGGTCCCTTCCAGTTTTGATGGTATCCAATAACACTTTTTGGTTTCTGGTTGCATTGAAGCCTAACTGAGCTTGACTGGCTTCTCTTGTCGAATTCCCACGTTCCTTAGTCCCCTTGGGTTTTTTGTCAGTCTGCAAATCCTTGCCTCCTACTTTCCTTTTGGTTGCTGATCTGTGGACATTCCTGTCCTGATCAGGAAGGTTTGCACTGAATATCAGATGGGAGGTCTTTGGTGTAGAATAACTTTCTGCTTTGGTTTTATCTTTCTTCTCGTCTGTCTTCTGCCTTTTTTCGGTAACTGACAAGATAGTCCGATGTTTCTGAACGGAATTGGCAAAATCATTGCCGTGGTGATCAGCTGCCCCATGGTCTTTTTTGGTCTTTATCTCTGCTGGATCTCCATATTGAGGTTCACCAAAACTGTCCTCTACATAAGATGAAAGAAATTATATTTACCAAATATCCATTTTTTTCTTGCTCTTATCTATATTCAGTACTCTAAGGCACTTAAATCATTGAAGATAAAACTTCTAAGTATATTACATAAATATCATCGTACTGAAATAACAAATTGTACCAAAACCTAGGAGGAACAGATGGCCTACAAGGCTAAATTTAATAATATGTTTAACCATTGAGCTAGCTCTAACTTAACACTTCATGAATATGTTTTTAGATTCTTCAAATGTCTCTCATTTCATTGCTAGTTTGTATATTCTCTTCTGGTTCTACTAGCACTCACCTATTTTGGGTTGTACTTCATTGTATCTTCTAGTAGTTAGGTTTCACCAATAACATGTTATTTAAAAAGAAATAATAAAATTACACATCTTGTGTCTTGTTATTTTGTCTCCAAGTTTTGACTAAGCAACAAAGTTAACCTTCGTTGCTCACTTTCTTGCTTCAATTCAGTTGAAAGAGTTATTGTTTCTTAAGCTAAGAGATGCATAAAACTTTTCGAAGAGTGTTGTAGAAAGTAGGAGAGAGCTATTGTTGTATTGAGTACAAAACTGAAGTGCTGCAAAAAGAACCCTGTGTTTCTCATTTGACTAGAGATAATGCGTCCCAAGTATCTACATTAAAGGTGCTGAAGGTAATCTACAAAAGCCTCCAGGGAACTTCCCCACCTATCTATATACTCTCTATATAGCATGCAGGTAATCCTTGATTTATGACTGTTCATTTAAAGACAGTTTAAAGGAGTGGTGCGGTGGCCTAGAGGTGGAGCTCTCACCTCACAATCAGAAGGCTGTGAGTTTGATCCTAGGTAAGGTAAAGGTTTCCCTTGTACATATGTGCTAGTCGTTCCCAACTCTAGGGCGCAGTGCTCATCTCCATTTCAAAGCCGAAGAGCCAGCGCTGTCCAAAGACGACTCCATGGTCATGTGGTCAGCATGACTAAACGCCAAAGGCGCACGGAACGCTGTTACTTTCCCACTAAAGGTGGTTCCTATTTTTCTACTTGCATTTTTTACGTGCTTTTGAACTGCTAGGTTGGCAGAAGCTAAGACAAGTAACGGGAGCTCACCCTGTTACACAGCACTAGGGATTCAAACCGCTGAACTGCTGACCTTTCGATCAACAAGCTCAGTGTCTTAGCTTCTGAGCCACCACATCCCTCGATCCTAGGTAGAGGCAGATATTTCTCTCTCTGGGCACACCGAGAATATTTCTGCTGAACAAAACTCCACATTGGCGACAGGAAGGACATCCGACCATTAAAACACTCCGCTAGCTCCATTCAGTTGCCCAGACTCCACCCCGCAAGGGATTATGGGATCGATGAATGATGATTTAAAGACAGCTTAAAGATATGACAAGCTGATAAAAAGTGATTTATGGACCATTCTTAAAGTTACGACCATTGCAACAACCCCCCAATTTGAGTGCTTGGCAACTGACTTTCATTCATTATAGTTGCAGCATCTTGCAGTACAAAATTGCAATTTGTGACTTTCCCAGCCAATTTCTGACAAGCAAAGTCAATTGAGGAAACTAAATTCACTTAATGACTGCATGATTCACGATGGTTTAATGACCATGGTAAAAATGGTCATAGAATTGGGTCCAGTCATATGATGACTCACTTGCCTGTATTCATATCAATAGCATTTAAAGTTTTGCTATACATACAGTATAAGTAAATGAAACTAATTCAGATATATATTTTTATTCTGGCTTCAGCAACTATTCTCAGGAAGGAAGTCCCTTAAAACCATAATGTCTCTCCATCCAGAAAATGTTATACAGTTCAGAAAAACGATACCCTAATTTTCATTTACAAACTAGTTGTGCTAAAACCATATAATATATTCGATTTCACCCAATCTTTGATGGGATTTCACTTTTATTTTATTTTGTTTTTTTGTAAATATTTTTTATTTATTTTTTCCAAATTTAAACATAAAACATAACTTTCAAGAGCAAAAATCTCGACCCGGTCATAGATGGTTACCACGCTTACATTCCTTTCACAAGCTCAATTCACAATTTCCATTACATCTTTTATAAATAAACAAAAAAGAAAAGAAGATAAAAAAGAAATTCAAAACTTAAAAAAAACCAATTTTAACTCAAATTTAACATTTTCATCTATATAAATCTGTTATATCTATCCAAAATTAGTTTCAAGTTCACTTTCACTCATTTTTACATCTGCATAACAATTCTAAACATACCTTTATTCTTCTTTACCTTATATCTTATACAAGTCATATCAAAATAATTTTTACAATATTCTAACCTCTTATTAAGTGTTTACCTTAAAATTTTATCACCATTTATTCTTAATTTCAATTCAATACCACTCCATTTTTATTATATTTTATAAAACAACATTTGTCTAATTTTAATCCTTTGACCCTTATCCTCAAATCAGTTTACCTTAGTTTTTTTTCCTCCCAGTTTACATATTACACAGATTTTTCACAAAGGCATATTTTATTTACTCCAATTTCTAATATATTTTCCACTATATCTCCCTCTAATATTGAACTATCTTCCAGCTTATTCTATTTGATTAATTCTCAACTTGATCCCCTCCAAAACACCAACTATTTAGTTAATTTCAGAATAGTTCCTCAATCTCCTCCAACTCTCCTCCTATTTGTTTGGCTGTTTCCAGCATTTTGTGGGCTGATTTCCAGCGTAATCTCCTCCTTAACTCCCTCCATTGTTTGGCTGATTTCCAGCATAGTCTCCTCCAACTCTCCTCCTATTTGTTTGGCTGTTTCCAGCATTTTATGGGCTGATTTCCAGCGTAATCTCCTCCTTAACTCCCTCCATTGTTTGGCTGATTTCCAGCATAATCTCCTCTAATCTCCCTTCATTGTTTTTTTTTTTAAATTTGATTTTGGCTGGTGTCCAGCATAATTCCCTCCAGCACTCCTCCTATTTGTTTAGCTGATTTCCACCACTTCTAATTAATTTCCAACGTATTTCCACCGAGTCTCAAACGCTTATCTAGTTGGTATCGATCCCACACATTTTAACTGTAATATAATTATCTGTTTTATATCATTTTTCCATCCTACTCTTTCAATTTAAATCTCAGTATATTTCACTTTTATTTTTAAGCATTAGTGTTTAAATTAAAAACAACAACAACCCTAAAATACAGCTTCTGTAAGAGTGGCCACTTTGCTCATTTCATCCAGAAATAAGATACTTCCACAGTATAAATTCTGCCTCGGTTGCTGTTTACAAGGGAAAAAGTGAAGGCATTCTCAACTTTTGTATTTGATGTATTTTTTTGTATTTTGAACAAAGAAGATCCAAACATCTTGTCCAAATTAGTAATTTATTCTTGGTGGATGCCAGAGATAAAGAATCAAACACAATGCTAGACTAGATAATTAGATTTAATCTAATGCTAAATGCTAATGCATTTTTTAAATCAATAATCAGCCTTAAAGCACAAGAGGGAGAAAGATAAAGCAAACTTCCACATTTGACATAAAGATACATACCTTCTTTTTTTGATCTGTCTTCTGGTGGATCCATTTGCATGTATTTAGAAAATCCAAACCTGCAAGATTATGCCAATTACTTCACATGGCCAGCATTCAATATCCCCTCCTTGACATATGACCAGTGGTGGGTTGCCTATAGAACCGGTAGTAAAACCGGCAGGAGGCTCCGCCCACCGACCCGACGTCATCAGAACGCTTCTGCGCATGTGCAGAAGAGCGCGCGAGCGGCCCCATTGCGAACCAGTGGTAAAGGTAGGTAGAACCCACCCCTGCATATGACCGTAATAGTGCCTGCCCATTATGGTTAGATGCCATGATGGTTACGAAATGGGTCAGGCAACCAACTCAATTTTAATTTTTAATTTTTTGAGACAACCAGACTGCAGCAGATTAAACAAACATTGCAGTTGTTAAGTAAACTCATTGTCTGCTATGGAACTATTTTGGCAAAACCATCATAAAACACAGTTACAGGACCATGGGACGCTGCCAATGGCCATAAATACAACCACACTATGGGGCACCTGAAGTGTGGTCACATGACCCGGTGGGGGGAGGTGCAATTTAGGCACTTCAGAACCATGTTGTAAATTTTTTTCCCCCAGACAAATTGTAACTTTCAACAGTCATTATGTGACCAGTCATAAGAAGAGGACTCCTTGTAATTCTTCAGCTTCTGGAAACTATTTTATGCAACCAAGAGAATCGATTGATGACAATTTTCCCAAAATGTGCTTCAGACAAGCAGTTGTATTCTTTTGCCTTTTGTTTTCTGATGTCCGAGAATTGAAAAGACTTATGCACTGTTAAATTTTTTTTTTCTGATTTAAAATAGTGAGAATCCATTTGTCAGGGATTTGTGGGTAGAATTGGTGGCACTCCTTCTGAGTTTGTCCCTGCCTGAGATAAATATTTCATAAGCATCAAAAATTAGATGATGCAGTAAAAAAAACCCAAAATTTTAATGGTGCATAAGTCTTTTCAATCTGCTTTTAGATTTAATACACTATCAGTCATTCTCTTATCAGTCATTGGCTTATGTGGGTATATGCATAATGGTTATCTTTTGAGAGCTGAATGCAACAAAATTTCATTTTAATGTATGCCGATTAATATACATTTAAAGTGACAATAAAGATTATTTATTATTTATTTATTTATTCAATTTATATATGCCGCCCCTCTCCGAAGACTCACAATGCATTTAAAATCATTATAAAAAACATTTAAAAATTAAACACATTAAAAACATTAAAACTCTTTCACACCATTCATGGCCGGATCTCGCTGGATCGCAAGAGCGAGATCGCAAGAGCGAGATCAATGGCCCCAGGCCTGCCGGAAAAGCCAGGTCTTTACCGCTTTTCGGTGAAGATTCTATTCTATTCTATTCTATTCTATTCTATTCTATTCTATTCTATTCTATTCTATTCTATTCTATTCTATTCCCTTCCCTTCCCTTCCCTTCCCTTCCCTTCCCTTCCCTTCCCTTCCCTTCCTTCCCTTCCCTTCCCTTCCCTTCCCTTCCATTCCATTCTATTCTCCCATTAGCCTTAAGGAAAATTCCAGTGATTGAAAAATATTTTAGCAGCCATAAAAAAAGTTATGACAGGAGTTTATTTACCTGTTTAGAGACAACTCACTTTCCTGGTAGATGCATTTGTTAAATGACTCCATGTGTGTCAGCCGGGTGTAGTCATTGGGATACACAAAGGACAGTCGTACCTGGAAACACCCAAAGAGAATTCAGCAGAGTATTTTGTTGAGTGAAGGACAAACAATCCCGTTATTCCCAAAACTGTATGTTTATTTTAGCTTACGTCCACATATATTGCCTGTGATGTATTTGAGTTGAAATATATTCCTTTTTTTGAACCTATGATAACAAGCATTTATTGTTTGAGTCATAATGTATCTTAAAGTAAGAGAAGAAGCAATCATCCCTACTACTTATTTGCAATCTTAAAAGTTCCAGCTTGCTTGCTTGCTTGTTTATTTATTTACTAGCTGGATGCCTGTGCTTCGCTACGAAACTATGTGATTGGGCGTGTTAAATTAACACTTAAAGCATGAAGCTTAATGTAGAGTGTGTAACTCCGTAGCATCAGAGCCTGTTAATATAAGGCCACTGGCAGTTGGGACAGAGTTCCTTTCAGGTGGGGACGGGAAGTAGAACGTCTAACTCCTTAGCATCAGAGTGTGTGAATATAATACTGTATATGAAATACTAATGATTTGATGGTCATTTCAAAAAATCCTTTCTTAGCGAGCACCTAGAAGCCAAAAAGAACATACGTGCCAAAATTCAAGTTCGTAGGCTTTACAGTTCTGAGATTTCGTGATGAGAGAGTGATATTTGGCTTATGTAAATATAGATGTATGTATGTATGTATGTATGTATGTATGTATGTATGTATGTATTTCCTTTTTTTTTTTTTTACAAATAACGCAAAATGGCAAATATACCGTATTTTCCGGCGTATAAATTCTATTCTATTCTATTCTATTCTATTCTATTCTATTCTATTCTATTCTATTCTATTCTATTCTATTCCATTCCATTCCATTCCATTCCATTCCCTTCCCTTCCCTTCCCTTCCCTTCCCTTCCCTTCCCTTCCCTTCCCTTCCTTCCCTTCCCTTCCCTTCCCTTCCCTTCCATTCCATTCTATTCTCCCATTAGCCTTAAGGAAAATTCCAGTGATTGAAAAATATTTTAGCAGCCATAAAAAAAGTTATGACAGGAGTTTATTTACCTGTTTAGAGACAACTCACTTTCCTGGTAGATGCATTTGTTAAATGACTCCATGTGTGTCAGCCGGGTGTAGTCATTGGGATACACAAAGGACAGTCGTACCTGGAAACACCCAAAGAGAATTCAGCAGAGTATTTTGTTGAGTGAAGGACAAACAATCCCGTTATTCCCAAAACTGTATGTTTATTTTAGCTTACGTCCACATATATTGCCTGTGATGTATTTGAGTTGAAATATATTCCTTTTTTTGAACCTATGATAACAAGCATTTATTGTTTGAGTCATAATGTATCTTAAAGTAAGAGAAGAAGCAATCATCCCTACTACTTATTTGCAATCTTAAAAGTTCCAGCTTGCTTGCTTGCTTGTTTATTTATTTACTAGCTGGATGCCTGTGCTTCGCTACGAAACTATGTGATTGGGCGTGTTAAATTAACACTTAAAGCATGAAGCTTAATGTAGAGTGTGTAACTCCGTAGCATCAGAGCCTGTTAATATAAGGCCACTGGCAGTTGGGACAGAGTTCCTTTCAGGTGGGGACGGGAAGTAGAACGTCTAACTCCTTAGCATCAGAGTGTGTGAATATAATACTGTATATGAAATACTAATGATTTGATGGTCATTTCAAAAAATCCTTTCTTAGCGAGCACCTAGAAGCCAAAAAGAACATACGTGCCAAAATTCAAGTTCGTAGGCTTTACAGTTCTGGAGATTTCGTGATGAGAGAGTGATATTTGGCTTATGTAAATATAGATTTATGTATGTATGTATGTATGTATGTATGTATGTATGTATGTATTTCCTTTTTTTTTTTTTTTTACAAATAACTCAAAATGGCAAATATAACCAAAATATCTTCTGGGTGTTGTTTTCCCTACAACAACAACCCTGTGAGATGGACTGAGCTGAGAGAGAGTGACTGGCCCAAGGTCAGCTAGTTGACTTTCATGGCTAAGGCAGGACTAGAACTCGCAGTCTCCCACTTTCTAGCCTAGTGCCTTAACAAGTAGACCACACTGGCTCTCCAAACTGGCTCTATGATATTCAAGCTTGGAAAGGCAATTTAATAAACCCATTTATGTCATAATATGTTAAAGCCTGTCAGCCAAATATTCACTCTTAGAAACAAACAAAACCATGGACCCATAACAAAGGTAAATTGGCATCTCTGTCATTCAAATCCTTCATGGCCTCCCAAGAACAACATACTGTACCTATTTTTTTTTTCAGGAAAATTATTCATTCTACAGCCTTCCACTATGTTGGATTTCAACTCCCATAAATCGCAAATCAATACAATTGGGTTTGAGGAAGTTATCCCAAAACTTGTAATATTATTTGATTAACACAGAGATACTCAGGGTCAACCCTCTACATAATTATTTGAAGTCATTCCCACTGTGAGCAACACATTCTATTTTATAGGATTTTCTAGTCCAAACTTTCCCAGTTCAGGGCACTATAGATGCACTGAAAATTCAACTGAAATTCCCAGAAAGCATGAAGTAGAGCCATAATGTCAGCATAAAGACAATTTCTACCAAGATTCTTTCAAATGGAAAATGTACTTTAAAAAGAGAGTGAATTACTGTAATAGAGGATAATTTAATGCAGCAGATTTTACCAATTAGGGACAGAATTTTAAGGTGTCATGCCATTTAAGTTATCATACAGGAGAAATAAGAAATTGTGCTTCTTCACACTTTGGAAGTGTGAACTGGCCATACCAAAAAAGGTAACTTTAATTTCCAAACTTTCTGTCCAGTGGGATCATAATGGATAGGTCGGTTATGGTATATTATCAGAGGCATCTGTAAATGCCATACAACAAAAATTAAACTAAATATCTAAAATATTCTCTTTAAAAGCTTTGAAATAAAATTTTGGACAATATTTGGGAGTTTTCATCTGGGATCTTGAAGGGTAAAATCAATGAAAAATAACATTAGACAACTGTAATTTGTGAAATTTAAGCTTTTAAAAAACATTTTACGAGGTCTATTTCTGCTGCCATCATACAAAACTGTATAATGAGGCCCACTGACATAAAAATTAATGTCTTCCTTCTAATGCAAGAAGGCTTGGTAAGACTCAAAACTATTTTTTTATGGCAGCAGAGGAAGCAAATAAAACAAATAAATAATTAGTGAAAAAATAACAAACCCAAAACTAATGTGGAATACTTATCAGGACCAAATTCTCAAAAAGGGTTCAAGATTATACAACTTGTTGGTTGATAGACAACTACCAGATGATGCTATGTACAACTATGCTATTTCAATACAGTAGTGGCTAAAATTGTGGAAACCTTTTGGGGAAAGTATATTTTTGAGCCATTTTGATGGCTAATAACACCACTTTTATTTGGAGTCTCAAGATAGTCATATTCCACTGCTGGAATGGCCTGGGAATAGCCCAGACTTTAACCCAATTGAAAATCTATGGAGCCGACTAAAGAAACTTGTTAGTCAGAAGCGACCCAGCAATAAACCCCAGTTAATAGAAGCAATCATTCAATCTTGGTTTCACATTATAACAGCTGCAGAACTAAAAGACTTGGTTCACTCCATGGGAAGATGTTGTAAGGCCATAATTCATGCTAAAGGTTACCCAACTCAGTATTAACTGACATGGTGATAATTTTTGTATATCTCGTTTTTTTCTACGGTGATAATTTTTGTATATCTCATTTCACTTTTCTTCTTTATAACTGCTATTCTAATAGCAAATCCTTCATAAAAATTATTGCATTACATTCTTGATTAAATTATCTTTCCATTGATATAAAATTTTATGATACTACTCCAAACAAAATGGCGTTATTAGCTAATTTTAGAAAAATACACTTTTCCCAAAAGGTTTCCACAATTTTGGCCACTACTGTATAAGCCATCCCTTTATACCTTCAGTTGGCAATGTGCATAAACTGCAAAAAAGACTTGAATTGAGAAACGAGACTCACAAAATTAAGGCCCTGGTAGCGTTGTAGTTTGAATCCATTGATCAGATAACTTGGTTTGTACTGACATTCTGGAAAGATTCGGCGGATATGGGATTTCCTTAAGAGAGGCACTGAGGAGACAAAATAAATAAATAAATGAATGAAAAAGAGGCAATGGCAAAGGCTACATTTCCAAGCTGTCAAACATTATCTATCAAGCACTGAAGTCAGGTAGCAGGCCATCTTGAATCAATTTACCGCAGTTTGGCTTCCTTCGTTTCTGAATATTAGGGCTATGCAGAAACTTCGAAAGAGGTGATTTGAAAAGCACGATAGTGCCAACGAAGCACTTCAGCTTCCCCAATTGTCTCTGCATGTATGTGCCTGCCCAGCCAGTTTGTTTTGCTGGTGGTTCCAGCAGCAGAAGCATTGTCTGCGCATAGACAAACATATATAAAAGCCCCCTGTCAGCTTTTGAAGCAGCTGTGTGAGTCTTGTGAAGATCAGATTGTTCCAGAGGGTATTTGGGGAATGAGCTTTGGTCACTAGCAGGCTTATTTGGTCTTGTTTCTTTTTTGTATTGGATTTTTTTAGAAAAAAAAGAAAAACGACTATTCTTGCCCTACTAATGCAGCTGAACTCTAAAGAGAGGTCAAGCAGAATATCAGAATGTTTACATTCATAAATTGTGTCCCGGGGGTCAGCCTTCAGCATGTCAGCTGGATGTTCTACAGCCTCCTGACTAGGCAGCATCTGGTTTGCTCGAGTGGCTGGTGTCTGTGGGATATGGCCAACTTCATCCACTTTGAAAAGAGTTTCGTCTAAGAGATAAAGGAAGAAAAACTAATGAAGTACGATTGAAGTACGATTCCTACCAATGAAGTGTGAATTCCTGACCATTAGAACAATTAATCAGTGGAACAGCTTGTCTCCAGAAGTTGTGGGTGCACCAACACTGGAGAAGAGATTGGACAACAAATTGTCTGCAATGGTATAGGTCCTTGATGGCGAACCTATGGCACATGTGCCAGAGGTGGCACGCAGAGCCCTCTCTGTGGGAACACACACCGTCGCCAGCTGCTCTTCTGGTTTCCAGCGTGCACATGCACGCCAGCTAGCTGGTCTTTGAGGGTGCCAGAGCACCGGAAAACGGTCCGAAAAATGGCCAAAAACGGCCTGAAAAGCGGCCTGAAAACAGCCTGAAAACAGCCAAAAAACCAGCCAAAAACGGTGAAAAAACAGACATGCATATGCCAGCCAGCTGATCTTTGGGTTTCCGGTGCTCCAGCGTGTACGAAGACCAGCTGGCCGGCAGGCATGCTCATGTGGGAAAAGCAAAGATCAGCTGGTCAGTGCGCGCATGTGCACAGTCAGCTGGTCTTTGGGTTTCTGGCATTCCAGGACACACACAATCACGCACATGCACAAACGTTCCAGTTTGGACACTCGGTGCCCAAAAGGTTCGCCATCACTGGTATAGGTTTTCCTGCCTAAGCAGGGGATTGGACTAGAAGACCTCCAAAGTCCCTTCCAAGTGTGTTATTCTATTCTATGATAGATGGGAGAATGGAGAAATGATTTATTTTCTTAGGACGTGAGGCAGTACGTGAGAAAATATGACATCTAGAAGACATCTAAGAGTCTAGATTCGGTCTTCTCAGGTTGGCAATTTCCAGACAAACCAGGGCTGCAATTTCAAAAGTTCTCAGCATATCTAATGACCCCAGGATAGGAAATGCTGCCCTATGAAATTCTATGCTGTGTTTACCAAAATACTGGAACTCCAATGTCAGGAGAAGCAAAAGATGTGAGCAGTGGTGGGATTCAGCCAGTTCGCACCACTTCGGGAGAACCGGTTGTTAACTTTTTGAGCAGTTTGGCAAACTGGTTGTTGGAAGAAATCATTAGGGCAGAGAACCGGTTGTTAAATTACTTGAATCCCACCACTGGATGTGAGGCATACTTAAAGGTCCCCAGTTGCTCTGTATCCATAGCCTTTCTGTGCACTAGAACAGATATGGCACAGGGAGAAAATTACATCAACTCTGACCTGATATAGTTACATTTTCTCCCATTCTTTCAAACTTGTTACTCCATCTCTTCCACTCTGTTCTTAACATGCCTTATTCCTGTTAGAGAAGGCCTATATCTTGGGGATCTTATAGAGCTACCGTGTTTCCCCGAAAATAAGACCCTGTCTTATATTTTTTTTGAACCCCGAAATAAGCGCTTGGCCTTATTTTCGGGGAGGTCGTATTATTTTGGGACACGTGGAGGAAACCAGAGGAAATGGCAGGATTGGCTGCGCATGCATTTAAATATTTTCGGGGTGGGCTTATTTTCAGGGGGGGCTTATTTTAGTGCATGCGCTCAAAAGCCCGATTGGGCCTATTATCAGCGGATGTCTTATTTTAGGGGAAACAGGGTACTACTGGAAGAGAAGCCACGGGTTGTGCCCAGAAGATCTATTTTCCAGATCCAGCTGGTGTGCCAGTTGGGAATATAATTAGAGCAAGAGGACTTTGCTAGAGTGACTCACAATCTCATTACATCTGGACTTCTGTAATGCCATAGAGTGCATTTGAAAACTACAAGTGGTCCAGAACAAAGGAGTTCACATGTTGCCAGGTGCTCAGTACTTTGAGTAGTGACATTAATTTTGTGAGCCTTACATTGATTGTCAATGGGTTTCAGGGGGCAAATCAAAGTGCTGATTTAAATCTTCAATGCCCTTATATGGCATGGCATCTGGAGATCTTCAGAATCACCTCTTACTAACCAGATTTTGCTAAGGTATCACTCGGGAAAAATTGCTTATAGTGACCTATTCTGATAAATAAGAGGCAGGAATGGCCCTAAATGTTGTTTCTGTAATAGCCTCAGTTTTCTGAATAGTTTCCCACTGGCCCCATTGTTAACTTTAGAGAATCTAGTTATACTTCAGAGAACTATAATATGGCATAACATCATCCACAAAAGCCTCAATAAATAATCAAAAGGTTATTTCATCTCATTTGGTAGGAACATATAGTAAAGGACCATTAAATGGAGCCTTAGTCAAGAAACTGTACTGATCAATTTTGTCTCTTGACATTCTGTGAAATCTACTAAACATGTAAACATATTTAGAAAACATCTGGTTTCTGTGCACTAGCATTTGTGACAAAGCATTTCAGATAAAAAGGGACAATGAAGTCAGAGAAGAATGGCTACTGTTATTAGTTTGGTGGCATAGAAAGACTTACCAACATAAAGAGAGAGGAATTCAGAATCAATAATTGTAAACTTGGCTTCAGGATTATCCAATCTCCACTGAAAGAAGAAGACAGATGAATGAAGATTTTATAGATTTGTTAACTGGGACAGAAAACAGATTAATCTAAATGCACTTTAGCTACAGTGGCCTTTCGGAAAAGAGAACCTAATGATTTACTGACTTCTGGAAGAATACTGTTCAGTTGATTTTCCAGGTTACGATTTCTGATCGACAAAGTCAAGGAAACTATTTCAGAAATATTTTGTACAGTTAGATTGAGATACAATTTGATTTGAAATTTTAGAACTTGCTTCACTCAGCAGAAGAGCTTTGCAAAGTTAATGGTAGAGAGTACAATTTAGTACAACTAAATTGAGTATGACCAGAGATGGTATTCAGCAGGTTTTGACCAGTTCTGGAGAACTGGTAGCGGAAATTTTGAGTAGTTCAGAGAACCGGTTAATACCACCTCTGACTGGCCCCGTCCACTTCTTTTCTCTGCCTCCCGAGTCCCAGCTGACTGGGAGGAAATGGGGATTTTGTAGTAACCTTTCCCTGGAGTGGGGAGGGAATGGAGATTTTACACTATCCTTCTCCTGCCACGCCCACCAAGCCACACCCACAGAACCGGTAGTAAAAAAATTTGAATCCCACCACTGAGTACGACTCTTTGACAAAGATCATATTTTCATTTTCCTTAGGGGGAGATTAAACGGTATAAGAACATGGAACCAACAGATTCTATTTGGGTCTCTGGAATGTGATAAACTTAACAGGATGTGAGATACATGCAATCTTTTCTTTATTTTTTTCCTCTTCGGTATCTTCTCCCTCCTCCCCCTTTTCCACCTAGAGACACTTAAGGTGGTTTGAGCATTTTGACTAATTTAACTACTTGAGTCATTGTTGATATGTGAAATTGCTACTACTATTAACTTCACACACAATATTAGAAAGAAGATGCTTTCTCTGACAAGAAGAAATGAAAAAATTGGTCGATGAATTGGTTTTGTCTATTGCCAAAACTCCTAAGTCAAATCCTTGTACAGATAACCAAATACAAATCTAGCCAGTGAACTTACTGCAATTTCCACATGATCTGTTCCTATGTCATCCTGCTTGTGCAGAATTTCAAAGTAATATTTGTTTGCAGCTGATAATCTGTAAGGGAAGATCAGAGATTAAAAGCAAAATGGGTCTTTTGCTATCAGTATAGTATATTAAAGTAATAGAGTGGTGCAGTGGCATAGAGGTGGAGCTCTTGCCTCACAATCAGGAAGCTGTGAATTCGATCCTGGGTAGAGGCAGATATTTCTCTCTCTGGGCACACTGAGAATATATCTGCTGAACAAAACTCTGCATTGGTGACAGGAAGGGCATCTGGCCATTAAAACCCTCTGCTAATTCCAGACTCCACCCCACCAGGGGTTATGGGGTTGTTAAAAGATGATGATGATGATGATGATGATGACGACGACAATGTATTAAAATTATTGAAAATAAAGAGGACATTTTGGACTAGTTTCCAAGAAAAGCATAAAACCACTTGTTCAGGGCAATGATGAGATTACCGTATTTTTTGGATTGCAAGACACACCTTTTTCCCCCCTAAAAGGGTGTGAAAATTTGAGTGTGTCTTATACACCGCATGTAGCCCCACCCACCACTGGCCCCCACCCTATGGCCTCTGCCTCCCAGCAATTTACCTCCTTGCAGCAAGTATTTCAGCTTCAGCACAGCCTAATTACCACAAGTTGATTGTCTCTTGGATCGGCCTCCTGACTCTCGCTGTTTCTGGCTGCAAGGATTGCCATTGCCTATTGCTGCGCAGGCCTCTGCTGCTTGCTGCAAAGAGGTAAATTTCTGGGAGCAGATTTTTTTTTTCTTGTGCTAATCAAGCTATGCTGAAAACGAAAATGAAAGTAGAGCAGGCTGTTTGCTGCAACGAGGCAAAATTGCTGGGAGGCAGAGGCAGATTTCTTTTTGTTGTTTTCCTCACCAAAAAAACGTAGGTGTGTCTTACAGTCCGGAGTGTCTTATACTCCAAAAAATATGGTACTTTCTTCCCACGTGGGAAGTCCCACATGGGGCTGTTTTCTTCACATCTTCTCTCGGTTCAACTTTCTATATCAGGGGTCCCATCACTAGGTTCTACAATATTTTGGACCTTCTAGGTGGTAAAGTTAATCAATCAGCCAGGCATAGTAATATTATGGCAGGTTAAAGGAGAAAAACACAATATGTTCTTTGTGCATGTTGAATTCGAGCGTATGGAGCAGCCAATGTACAGATGATTAAGGTGCCATATGATCATTTCAATCAATCCATTAATAACATGTGAATGTATACCTGGCATTTGAAAAATGTGGAAATAAAGCATGGCAGATGCTCTTTCCATACTGCTGGGTTAAAGCACTAGCCAACTATCCTTGAGTCAGTTGAAAACTACACCGGGGTGACATTCGGGACCAATCCTTATCTGCTTCTTGCTCTGTGTCACTACTAAATGGAATTGTCTTAATAAAGCATGAGCAGTAAGAGTTCTCTTGCTTTGTTTTCTCCCTCTTCCACTCATCACCGGTTGGAAGGAAAAAGATTCCCATTATTGGTACTGCGAGATGACTTGGGAGTCCTGGCCTCTCCGATCTCTAGGCTTCTTCTTGTGCCATTCCTTGTAGAGGCACTCTGTCATTTTTTTTGGGGGGGGGGGAGGAAGGGGTGCCTTCAAATCAGTATTGAGTCTTGGCAACTGTCTGGACAAAGTTCTGAAGTTTTCTTGAAAATGTTTTTATTTTTTTTAAAAAAATATTTTTTTTAAACAAGCAAGCATACAAACAAACAATCCATCCTTAATCTATTGTATTGTATTGTATTGTATTGTATTGTATTGTATTGTATTGTATTGTATTGACTATTGTAACACTCTCTACATGGGGCTCCCCTTGAAGAGCACCTGGAGGCTCCAACTGGTCCAGAATGCGGCCGCGCAGGTAATTATGGGAGCGACTCGACGCTCCCATGTAACACTGCTCCTGCGCGAGCTGCACTGGCTCCCGGTGGTCTTCCAAGTGTGATTCAAGGTGTTGGTTGCCACTTTTAAAGCGCTCCATGGCATGGGCCCTGGGCATCTACGAGACCGCCTTCTGCCACCGATAGCCTCCCATCGACCGGTACGCTCCCACAGAGAGGGGGTCCTCCGGGTGCCGTCAGCTAGACAATGTTGGCTGACGACCCCCAGGGGGAGAGCATTCTCTGTGGGGGCTCCACCCTCTGGAATGAGCTGCCCCCAGAGATTCGTAGGATTACTGACCTGTGTACCTTTCGTCGCGCCCTAAAAACATTACCATTCCAACAAGCAGGGCTGGCCTAAATAATAATAATATTTTTACTATTTTAACGGGTTGTTTTATTGGAATTTTCGGCCAATTGATTTAATAGTTTTAAATTGTTTTTAATTTTTATACTGTCATGGTTTTATTTCTGGCTGTACACCGCCCTGAGTCCTTCGGGAGAAGAGCGGTATAGAAATTTAATAAAATAAATAAAATAAATCATTCAGTGTTTCATCTGAGTGCATATTTTGTGTCTTCTACTCCCTCCTCCATCATTTTCATATTATATTTCTATCGTACATTTATATTTTCATTTAGATTGTTACATCATTCTTCCCAAATTTCTTATGTTTATATTAATTCATCAATTATCTAAATTTTTATATGTATCTCTTCTCTAACCATTGGTATAATTGCCCCCATACTTTAAAATACTCCGATTCTTCCTTTTCTTTAATTACCAATGCTAATCTATTCATTTCTGCACATTCCAATATTTTTTGAAAATGTTTTTAGAAGTGGTTTGGCCTTGCTTCCTGCTTCCTAGGGCTGAGAGAGTGAGTGACTGGCCCAAGGTCACCCATCTTTGTAACTTTGTGCCTAAGGTGGGACTAGAATTCATGGTCTCCCAATTTCCCAGCCTGATGACTTAACCATTAAACTAAACTTTCAGAATTGAATACAATAAACAACTACACAACAGACTGGAGTTATAAAGTTGGTCGAACCACAAATAGCACTTTACTTCAGATGTTTCTTAATTTCCCTTTGAGAACACAAAAGCCAATTTCTAGAGCTTTCCATGGTGTCTTCGGGGGTGGTAGTGATGGAAGGCTGGGCCCATCCTTCCAACAATACAAAGGTTTAACCCAGTGGTGAAATCTAAAATTTGTTACTACCAGTTCTGTGGGCATGACTTGGTGGGGGGAGGGTAATGTGACTGGGTGGGCGTGGCCAATTTTTTTTTTACTTTTAAAACCATTTTTTACATTTAAACCATGTAAAAAAATGCTTTCAAAAGGCTCTGACGATCCCAGCTGAGTTGCCTGATCGTCAGAGGGTTTTAACCCTCTGTGGATCAGGCAACTTAACTGGGATCGTCAGAGCTTGGATCGTCAGAGCCATTTAAAAGAAAAAAAGCCTCTGATGATTGTGTGGCTCAGCTGGGCATGGGGGGCGGGGGCAGGGATTTTTGCTACTGGTTCTCCGAACTGCCTGCCGCCATCGCTACCTACTCGCCCGAGCCGGTCCGAACCGGGAGCATTTCACCCCTGGTTTAACCTTTGCATTAAATCAGTAGAGTTCAAACTTTCATACTACAGCCAGCTGAGCTGATGAGCTGTACTGGAAAATTCTGCATCTAACTGTCAAGAGACTCAACAGCAGAACATCGACAGATGAGACTCACTGCAGATTAGAGAGAAAGAAGCATATCTGCATAATTTTGAACCAGCCACTAAACACCTCTAACACGATGGGTGGGGGAAGCATGATAGATTTTACAAACCTTGTGCCTGTCGCTGAATCTCGTTGCCTTAAAGAGGGAAACACTTCTTTAACATTGCTACATCGAAGGATGTCATAAATCTGTCTCACTCATGAGTTAGGAACAAAAGAGAACCATCCCAAGGAAAATTGGTGGAAACAAGATATTGCCAGAACTTGTTTATGCCAAGATTAGGTGCAAATGGGGAAATAGCCCAGGGGAAAAGTGGGGATCAATAATGTGGGATCCTTGGTGCTCTCTGAGCTTGGTGTTTTTCTTGCAGGAGTTTCATAATCAAACCAGGTAACATTATCAGTGCCAGCACATTAGCACTGGTGATGCTATCTAGTTTTAGTAATGTGATGTCTGCAAGAAAACCACCAAACTCAGAGAGCACCAACCCCGAAGCTCTTCTATTCCATTGGATCAATAGATGTGCAGAAAATTGTACTGCCAGCCACTAGGGAGCACTCTGAAATTATTTTGAGCAGGTAAAAACTCCACCTGCAAACATTTTGAAGTCACAGTGATTTAGAAATATTTAACACACGCACGCACACACAATGACAAAAGACTTGCAAACTGAGTTTAAGATAGGAAAGAAGATACGGCTACCTGGATTGCATCCAGTTGAGTAATGTACAAAACAGAATTAAAGATCTCAGTTTACTCACTTCACAAGCCTTGACTTTTGGCTCTTGAATTTCCCAAATTCACCTGGTGCTGTCCACTCTTTTCCAGTCTGAACAAAGATACAAAACATCCCTTTTATGTTAAGCTTCAGTTGCATAAAGCCCGAACACATTTTTTTTTCACTCACTATGTAATTGTGTACAAGAGATTAACCACAGATTAAATAACATAATAAACATCTTCAACGGTAATTAAAAACAGGAATGCTCTTGACTGCTACTTGCTCTTGGCCTTAGAGATGGAACCGCATCTCTGCCAAAGCTGGATGAGAGATATAAAGAAGAGGGGAACTGGAGAAGTGGAAGAGGTTATTCAGCTGCTAGATTTGCAATTTCCTACAGTGTCATTCTTGGCTGACCCACATTTAGATGGGTGCACTGTGGCTGTGACTGAGTAAATGGGGCCAAAAGGAGAAGCAGAGACGGAGCAAAAATTATGAGATATAAATATTGAACGAATGTATACAGGCATTCATGCATGAATGAATGAATGAAATAAGACATTTCGAGAGCTGGCTAACATAGACAAAAGGCATGAAAATTTTAGAAGGTAGAATAGCATGCTCTTACACCTTTTATTACCATTTTTTAATTTTATAAAATAAAATAAAAAACCCTTGCTTTTAAAATATCCAAATCCTTTCTAAATGTGACTTCGTATGACAATAATCCATAAGTGTGAATTTATAACATTCTGCCTATTTTTCATTATCATCTTCATTTGTGTAACCCAAACATCACAAGAGAGTTCATTTTTGTAGTTTGATATCATGAAAACTAGAAATCAGAATCCCTATGGCCTTTGAATTAATACATCCAACACGTTATAAACGTATGTGGTTATGACAAGTAGCTGTGATATATATATCCTTAACTCTTCTGGAGTTCTATGTTATGTTGGGTGTCTGTAGAAAATAGAATTAAATTATTTCCTCATTTCATTTTTATAGCATTTCCCATTTTGTATCCTGCTACAAATCTGATAGTTGGTATCCCTGGTTTATGTAATAGTCCCAGATAATTCTATAATTCTTAATACACTATGGGATACCATTCAAGAATATATGACAGCTGTCAGACCAGGGGTGAAATCCAGCAGGTTTTGACAGGTTCTGGAGAACCGGTAGCAGAAATTTTGAGCAGTTCAGAGAACCGGTAGCAGAAATTTTGAGTAGTTCGGAGAACCGGCAAATACCACTTCTGGCTGGCCCCAGAGTGGGGTGGGAATGGAGATTTTGCAATATCCTTCCCCCAGGAGTGGAGAGGGAATGGGGATTTTGCAGTATCCTTCCCCTGGAGTGGGGAGGAAATGGGAATTTTGCAGTACCCTTCCCCCAGGAGTGGGAAGGAAATGGGGATTTTGCAGTATCTTTTCCCTGCCATGGCCACCAAGCCACAGCCACCAAGCCACACCAGGCCCACCAAGCCACACCATACTATGCCCACCAATCCATGCCCACAGAACCAATAGTAAAATAATTTGGATTTCACCACTGTCTCAGACATAAAGATATAATGGTTGAAGCATTAATTAACCTCAATAGTAAATTGATATAGTAAAGTTGTACTGATTTCAAGTGCACAATATTTATTAATTTGCCCCCAACAATCTGGGTCCTCATTTTACCCACCTCAGAAGGATGGAAGGCTGAGTCCACCTTGAGTCTGGTGACATTTGAACTGCCAAATTACAGGCAGCCGGCAGTCAGCAGAAGTAGCCTGCAGTACTGCACTCTAACCACTGCATCACCAAGTGTATGTTGTACATGAAATAAAGAATTGAAAGAACGTGGTTGATCACCTTGCCTATGCTGGCCATCAGTTGAACCTCTGAGATGTTTTTTCCTTGGCTCAGCCAAAACTCGGCATTGTCATCAGCCCCAATCGCAAACTGAAACATACCTACAGAAATTTAAAGACAAAACTGGATTTAAAAGTAAGAAATATTCAAAAAAGATGGGCAATGGTGTTGCATGCCAGTGGAAGCAGAGTGATGTATCTTCAATAAAAAAAAATATCATCTCTATTGAATGATATAATGATGTTTCTTTAATATTTCACATGGTAAGAATTTGCAAAAATTGGAATAAATCCACTAGCAGTACAAACAGTTAAACCTTGTGGAATATATCTGCACTCTTAACTAATATTCAATGAGAACCATTTTCCCAATGTGTATTAATGCTTGATTTATTTTTAACCATTCATATTTTTACCATCTACCAAAGAAGTCCAGCTAGCATCAATTATGATGGCAAGTCACTCAACAAATGTCTCGCTCAGCAATGGAAATGTTGGCTCTGTTATGGTTGTAAGTTGAGGACTACCTGAATTTTGGTGAGGAGTGTAAATTTTAAACAGAAAAGATAGAAGAAATGTAAACAGTAGAAAATTTAAGGGGTAATAATACAGAACAGAGCAAGAGGTGATGAACATAGAATACTGTTTCTGTGTCCAGAAACCCATGATAACTCCAGATTCAAACATGAATCTGCAATAAAAATGACACTAAGAAAAGGACTTGAATTTAGTGCAATAGATTTAAGCCTATACCAATCTATGAGATACGTTCTGCCATACTCTTATGTATTTACTCAGCAGCACTTCAGAATCCACATGTGGGCCTACACAAGGGAGTAACAAATATAAAGGACACATTAATAGTGTTATCTCAAATCTCTGGAAGTCTCTTAGATCCAAGCTACTCCATACTTGTAAAGTTATTCATAATACAGCCAATTCTACTCTCCCCTTACCATCCTTGTATGGATGCAGGTAACCAAATATCCGCAATCCATAGTTTTTCCATTTTGGTGATACTGCTAGCTTCTTCAAAGTAGTCCGTGTCTAGAAGTATAAGAAAAAGGAAATGTTAGCATTATTGAATTGAGCTGGAGTAAGATAAAGGAATGGAGCAGAAAGAACAAAAAGGAATGGTTAGGAATTATGAAATAAGATATCAGGGCTATTCAGAGAAATAACAAAGGGATTGAACAAAACAATGTCAGACTAGAGCTGGAAAGAACAAAACAATGTCAGACTAGAGCTGGAAAGGACCTTGGAGGTCTTCTAGTCCAGCCCCCCGCCTAAGCAGGAGACCCTACACCTGTGATGGTGAACCTATGGCACGCGTACCACAGGTGGCACGCAGAGCCATATCTGTGGGCACGTGAGCGTTGACCTAGGTCAGCTCCAGCACACATGCCAGCTGACTTTTGGGCCTTCTGGGCCCACCGGAAGTCAGGAAACTGGCCGTTTGCAGTCTCCGTAGGGCCTCCGGGGTGGTGGGGAAGGCCGTTTTCACCCTCCCCAGGCTCCAAGAAGCCTCTGGAACCTGGGGAAGGCGAAAAACAGGCCTACCGGGCCCACCTTTTTACCATCGTGTGCCAAAAGCGGGGAAAGCACGGGGGGGAGTCGTGTGCACATGCACAGGGGAGCAGGGTGCAGAGGGCACTGAATTATGGGTGTGGGCACACATGTGCGCAACTCCCCGCACTCCCCTGCTTTTGGCACACGACGGCAAAAAGGTTAATCATCACTGCCCTACATCATTTCTGACAAATGGCAGAAATTTTCTTGAATGTCTCAAGTGATGAAGCTCCCACAACTTTTGAAGGCAATTTCACCAATTTTGTGGAGGTTAGTGGAACTTGTGAACCCAGCCATTTTGGCTTAGAATGATCTGTGACTCTGTGTGAATCTGGTCAGTGGTGGGTTGCTCCCGGTTTGGCCCGGTTCGGGCAAGCTGGTAGTGGTGATGATGTGATGTCAGCGAACCGGTTCGCTATGACTGTGAGCTGGGGCCTCCCGCCCGACCCCGTGTTATACCTACCTTTGTCGTTTTTTAGCCCAGCTGATAGGTGCAGCAGAGTGGATTGCTGCGCCTCAATTGGGCAGAATTCTAATGCGGCTTGCAGTTGTGCGGTTGTGTGGAGTGGTGGTAACACTGGTTGGAACCCACCACTGAATCTAGTCATTAGTCAACAAACCATGATTTAGAAAATCCTGAATTAAATGAACCCAGCCACTATTGGAAGACAGAATTCTTTCTTCATTTGGTAAAAGAGGAGAATGTGGGCCTAAAGAAGTTCAAATCATTTTATTTTACATGCATTTTGAGAAGACCCAGCTTTCTGGAGAAAGCTCTAGCACTGGGAAAGGTAGAAGGAAAGTGGAGAAGGGGATGGCCAGCAGCAAAGTGGGTGGATTCAGTTACAATGATGATTAGTGCACAGTTGGAAGACTTGAAAGATTAGATCCTTGTACAGGAAGTCTATCAATGTGATTGCTAGGAGTTGAAAACAACTTGATGGCACACCATCAATAAATGGGCCTAAAAGGATACTCACATGAGGATATAAAGGAAAGTGAAGATTTCTCCTCAATTGTTCAATAGATCCACCACACCAGTCTTCAAAAACATGAAGATTTACTTGACCTTGGAACTGCAGATATATGAAAATGCAAGAGGTTTTTTTGTTATCAAAACGCCCCTATAATCTGTTACATTATTTTACAATAAAATGGCTAAAGATAACAAGATAAACGAGACGCTCAGGAAGGTTACATGGCATCCTCCATGAAAATGTAATCAACTAGGATGATTGCAAGTTGTGATTCTCAAACTGTAGTTAGGGATCACTGGTGGTCCACATGAGTACTGCAGATGGACCATATTCCAAACACTGAAACGGTTTTGTTTTTTCTTTTTCAAAAAAATGGCCAAAACCTTGTGGGATTCCCAAATCAAGATATTTCAAACAGGAACACAATAATCTTATTTAACCCAGTTTGATCTAAATTTGACCCTGCACAAATCAATTGTGTGAACTCTATGTGCTGGAGTGACAGAAGGTATCACTTTGCCAACCTTTGTCTTATGTTGTACTACTATTAATATTCTCATCATTCCCATCACCCCATCTCCTTCCACTTATGACTGTATGACTGTAACCTTGTTGCTTGTATCCTTATGATTTATATTGACTGTTTCCTAACATGATTTGATTGCTTATTTGTACCCTATGACTATCATTAAGTGTTGTATCTTATGATTCTTGATGAACGTATCTTTTCCTTTATGTACACTGAGAGTGTATGCACCATAGACAAGTTCCTTGTGTGTCCAATCACACTTGGCCAATAAAAAATTCTATTCTATTCTATTCTATTCTGTTCTGTTCTGTTCTGTTCTGTTCTATTCTATTCTATTCTATTCTATTCTATTCTATTCTATTCTATTCTATTCTATTCTATTCTATTCTATTCTATTCTATTCTATTCGGAGATCCTTAAACATTATGGATGGCAAAGTAATGTTCTTCATAGAGGAAATATTGGGACTTGCAATTGTAGATAGATGTTTTATCTTATTATATATAACATTTCCTCAACATGCTGTCTTCCAGAAGTGTGTGACTTGTTGGCATATCTTACACCTGGGCTTGCTGGGAAATAATCCGGAATGTTCAGGTGAATCAATAAAGGTTCAGATAGCTATGCTGTTTAACTTTGATTCTTCAATCTAAATTATGCATTTTCTGAAGAAACTGCTCATGCTCTCCTTCCCTCTCCCTTTCCCTCCCTCTTTCTTTTCTTGGTGGAGAACCAAGCCTTTGGTTCCTCAATTAATTCGTTTGACTCGATCCAAATAATACTAAATAAGTAAAATAATGGATCCTTTCGCCTTGGCTTTAGTTTCTTTCTTTTATCATTCAAATTTTTATTAATTTATCCAAATACAATATAAAATACAAAAATACAAAAAGCATTGACTTCTGACTCCTTTCGGTGCAGTAGAATAAGATAATAGCATCAACTTTTTACTTTTATATACAAGTATATTATAAATAATATAAACTAGACATTTCTAGTTGTCTACAGGGGAAGAGCCTGTAGTACAGTGGACTAAAGCACTGTTATTAACATCTGCTGCTTGCAATTACTGCAAGTTCAAATCTCACCAGGCTCAAGGTTGACTCAGCCTTCCATCCTTTCAAAGGTAGGTAAAATGAGGACCCAGATTGTGGGGGCAATAAGCTGACTTTGTATAAATATATAAAAGTATGAAGGCTATTGCTTAACGCATTGTAAACCGCTCTGAGTCTCCGGAGAAGGGTGGCATATAAATTAAAAAAAGCAAAAAAAAAGCAAAAGCAAAGCATTTCTATAACAGCAAACCTATCTAATTGGCAAAATCCAAAATCAAAGTTTCATTTTTTTTCCACCTCAAGGACAAAGTCCAAAAGTGGTTTCCAAGCAGAAGCAAAGTTAATTGTGTTCTTGGCTTCAGTTTCTAACTTTAGATAGGCTCACAGCAGGTTGGAGAAAAAAGACATTTAAACAGCAACATGGTTAATATTTTGGAATGGCAAATGTAATATAACTATCTATGAAAATATAAAGCTGTGGAGATTTACTTATTCGGTGCATGTACTTAAAATATTACCTCTAGGTAATGTTGCAACTCGTATTATCTAATTCTATTATCGGATTTAATGCATCTTTAAATATACTACTTGATGCAATAACACAGGAGATACACTGATTAGGAATGTTTTGACAGCTTGGTTCACTTTGCTTCAACTATTGTATACTAAACATTTTACTGGAATGTGCCAATGTTTTTCTAAAGCAAGTATTATAAAGTGTAAATGATGAACGAGACAGTCAATTAACTGAAAATACGTATCAAAGACCAAAACCAGTAGCAATTCCCTGTTATCAGTATTTCCATAGCTTATTCAAATTTTTTCTGGGTAATGGGTGCAATAGCCATTTACATTTTATTAAAGGGGTAAATAGGGATGCAGTGGCTCAGTGGCTAAGACGCTGAGCTTGTCAATCGAAACGTCGGCAATTCAGAGGTTCGAATCCCTAGTGCCACATAACGGGGTGAGCTCCCATTACTTGTCCCAGCTTCTGCCAACCTAGCAGTTCGAAAGCATGTAAAAATGCAAGTACAAAAAATAGGGACCACCTTTGGTGGGAAGGTAATAGAGTTCCGTGCGCCTTTGGCATTTAGTCATTCCGGTCACATGACCATGGAGACGCCTTTGGACAGCGCTGGCTCTTCGGCTTTGAAATGGAGATGAGCACCGCCCCCTAGAGTCGGGAACGACTAGCACATATGTGCGAGGGGAACCTTTACCTTTAAAGGAGTAAATGAGCGGCAACGCCAGGGAACTGCTCTTCTGGTTTCCAGTGCTCCCCTGCGTGCTCCCGTTTTGGTACTCGGTCCCGAAAAGGTTCACCAACAATAGAGGAGAAGGAAGGTAATATACCTTCCTTCTCCTATTTTCCTCACAACAAAAACCCTGTGAGGTGGGTTGGGCTGAGAAAGAATGACTGGCTCAAAGTCAACTTTCATGGCTAAGACAGGACTAGAACTCACCATCTCCTGATTTCTGGCCTTGCGCCTTAACCAAGGCTACATCTCTATCCGTCTCAGATGCCCAATCTTAGCTGCTTATGATCTGTGCAGCATAATATGTGGGGACAGCAGGTTATGCATGATGAAAGGGAGACTGATTGATGCTCAGTGGGACAAAACAAAGCAACCCTCATAGTTTGTTGGGAAAGGTCCTTTTCAACCCTTGTTGCTATGAAAGGAAGAAAGGACTAGCTTTGTCCTTTAAAAAAAAAAAAAAAAAAAGTCTGGCAGTTCACTATCTCTGGAGCAAATCATTTACATGTAATATGGAGAATGTGAAAATGCCAATGAAAATAAATTAGATAAAAAGGAGCCTGGAAGAATGGAGACATTGTGTTGATGCTTCAAGAATATTTAAATCAATATTTGTAAGATTCTATTCCATTAAAAAGTGAATTATATATACTGCCTTAAACGACTTTCGCATAATTTTAAGCCACAATAGATTCAGGGGAAACCATGCAGTGCTGAAACTCCATCATGAAAGAAATGTAAGGAACCAACACTTCTGTTTTTAGGTCCCGCAATTCAATACATGGAAGAGAAGCCCAAGATTGTTAAATATAGGTACACCTTGACTTGCAACCACAATTAGGAGAGGAATTTGCACTGTAGATTGATCTGGTCATAAAGTGAGTCATTACATGACTAGATCCAATCTTACGACCATTTTACTGTAGCCATTGAGTGAATCATGAGGTTGATAAGTGGATCACACAGTTGTTACGTGAATCCAATTGACTTTGCCTGTTGGAAGCCAGCTGGGACGTTCATAAATCATGATCACAGGACAACAAGAGGCTGCAACCAGGGGTGGGCTTCAAAAATTTTAGCAAGGGTTTCGCTGCCCAGTTGCTGGGTGGGTGTGGCCAGGGTGGGCATGGCCTAGTTGGCCTCCTGCACCACAGCGGGGGGAGGGGCATTTTTGCTCTCCCCAGGCTCCAGAGGCTTTCCTTGAGCCTCTGGGAAGCCAGACACGGGCCCATTTCCAGCCTTCCCGAACTTCCGGTAGGCCCATTTTTCACCCTCCCCGAGCCTCCGCGCACACCCTACACTTATCTACATCCAAAATGGGCTGTGTGGCAGGGGTGGGTTCTAAATTTTTTTACTACCGGTTCTGTGGGCGTGGCTTATTTTGTGGGTGTGGCTTGGAGGTCATGTGACTAGGTGGGCGGGGGGGAGAACCGGTTCGGTGAGGTCATATCGTCACTGCTACCGGCTCGGCTGAACCGGACCGAACCGGGAGGAACCCACCACTGCTGCGTGGGGATTCCTGGGACAGGTGGGGCAGGGTGGGCGGGGCCAGCCAGGAGTGGGATTTGGGGGTTCTCTGAACTACACAGAATCTTAGCTAGAGGTTCTCTCGACCCCCTGCGAACCCCCAGTAGCCCCTCTCTGGCTGCAAGCCTCATAAATGCCAAGTGCCCAAATTGCAATCCTGGAACCATGGAGTGGTGCAAGGACAGGATGTAAGGTCACTTTTTCTGGAGCCATCATGGTGGCGCAGTGGTTAGAATGCAGTATTGCAGGCTAATTCTGCTCGCTGCCAGCAGTTCAATTCTGACCGGCTCAAGGTTGACTCAGCCTTCCATCCTTCCAAGGTCAGTTAAAATGAGGACCTAGATTGTTGGGGGCAATAGGCTGACTCTGTAAAACGGATAGAGAGGGCTGTAAAAAGCTATGAAGTGGTATTATGTAAGTCTAAGTACTATTGCTAGTTATATTTATTGTAGTTATATAACTTTATAGATAGGAGATTTTACGTAGAGAGAGATTAACCTTGGGTATCCAGAAAACAGGGTTCTCTGAGGCTGTAGAACTGGTCCTATTGCTCCAGCTTTTGTCTTGTGCTTGGTTCTAAATTCATCGGAGGGAGAAACAAAAGAAAAAGTTGAGGTTCTTTTTTCTCTGCAGCTGAACTCAGTTTTAAAGATTTACAGGTATTTGGAAATGCTAAAGATGCTAAATGTTTTTTCCGAGATCTATCAGAAATTGCATAATATAGAAGTTATATCAATAAGAAAGATTAGTATCTAGCTAATTTAAACACAGGTCCATGAATTAAAAAAAATAAAATAAAATCCTGCAATCATTACTGTCCCAATTATTCTCTCAATGTAAATTCTGAAATGGGAGGAAAATTGGTCTTGATTTATGTGACGTCCTTTGACATTATCTTTCCGCAATTTACTCAGCTATCTTTCTAAATCTTAAGTTTCATTTTTTGTTATGTCCCAAAGGTGGGGTTTTTTTTCCCCAAAAAGGCAACTGGACTTTGTTTTTCCTTGAAGATGTGCATTGAAACAAAAGAAATTCCAGTTGCCTTTTGAAAAACAACCTTTGTGACAACCATCACCTAAATCTCCATAGATACCTTTTGTTACGCTTTTTAGAAGTTATTCCAATTTCTCTAGATCAGGGGTCTTCAAACTTTAAGACTTGTGGACTTCAACTCCCAGAAATCTCCAGCCATCATAGCATAGCTGGCTGGAGCATAGCATAGCATAGCTGGCTGGAGAATTCTGGGAGTTGAAGTCCACAAGTCTTAAAGCGGCCATGTTTGAAGACCTCCGCTCTAGATCCTTCCCTATAGTGTCGTCCTCAGAATTGGACAAAGGACTGGCCAATGCAAATTGAAATGGAGTTATTACTTTCTGTGATTTTGAAATTATACCCTCTAAAATTTACTTTCCTTCCCCCCCATCCCCCACCCCCCAGCCATATCATACAACTAGCTCACATTTAATTTACAATCGTAAGACCTCACAAACACTGTCATTACTCAGTCAGATATTCCCCTATCCTATACCTGGGCATTTGATTTTTAGTTTTTTCTTTTTTTCATCCATACACGAGCATTTTTAATCTCCTCTTGAATAATTGCACTGCACGGCTAAACTAGCATGTTTAATCATCCACTTGTCATTTTTGTTTTTCAGGGAGCACAGTTTGCAGCTATGCCATCAGCACTTCACTTTTTAGAATCCCCCGTTTGTGATTTTGTCATGCTTTTTAATCCTCTGTTTTCTCTTGGGAAGTGGTGGCTATAAGATAACTATGCGAAGCACTCAATAAAATGGAAATGATGATTATTATGATGTCAGGATGGTAGAAATGTTCCATTCCTCCCTGAAAATACTGTCTTGTATCTAGATCCTGAGACAACTTTCTTTGGGCAAATGCAGAAGTGGGCTACTGCCAGTTCGCACCAGTTTGGGCGAACTGGTAGTTAAGATTCTGCACAGTTCGGCAAACTGGTAAATCCCACCACTGGCTGGCCCCACCCCCACTCATTTTTTGGCCTGTTTCCAGCCAAAAATGGCCCAAAAAAGAGCTAGAAAATGGCCCAGAAAATGGCCAAAGAACAGCCCAAAAATCAAGTGGTGGCGGGGCCAGCCAGTGTTGGGATTAGCCCCAACTGGCTGAATCCTACCTCTGCCTTTGAGGCGAGTGGCCGGGAGGTGGGCCTGGGTGTGACGAGTGATATCACCCACCCAGTCACATGATCAACCAGCCATGCCTACCCAGCCAGAGAACCAGTTGTTAAGTTATTCAAGTCCCACCATTGGGCAAATGCAACCACAACTACCAGCTGCTAACTCTGATTTAGTTTCTTCCTTCTTTCTTTACTGCAGTTTAAGCAACTAAGCGGAAACAACAACAAGAAGGTACTATGTTGATTTTGATGTGTAGCCTGCCCTTAACAAAAAGCTGGGACTGTCCAGCAAAATACAGGTACTCTCGACTTACAAATATTTGTTTAGTGACCGTTTGAAGTTACATCACTGAAAAAAGTGGCTTATGATTGTTTTTCATACTTACAACCATTGCAGCCATCCCCATGGTCACGTGATCAAAATTTTGACCTTTGGCAACCAGCATGTATATATGACTATTGTACTGCCCTGAAGTCATGTGATCACCTTTTGCGACCTTCTGACTAGCAAAGTCAAGTTCAGTTCCAAACTAGGAGAGAGATACTGGAAACATGGAGGCTGATTGGAAAGATGGATTATTGATGGACAGGACCACATGGGTTTGAGGTCTTAGGCAACGAACCACATGGAGTGGAGTGGGGGGGCGGTTTATACCTTCTTTGGGCTTTGTATTTGAGCTTCCTGTTCCTATGCAAGAACATGTATTCTATTGGCTGTTGTCAGATTTCTATGGGGTCATGTAGGGGTCGTAGCTGGCTTTATAGGCAAAAGAGGAAATGCAAATCCTAATCTGGTCAACCTCTCTGGTTTATTGTTTATCTGAGTCCCAGGTTTGATGTTTGAATTGCTCTGGGATGGTGAAATGAAAGGGCTTGTGTTCTTAAAGGGTTTTGGGCAATTCCTATTGTGGCTTAATGACTTTCGTCCCATGTTGGATCTTGGGTGAGGGGCTGCTTCTAATCCTACCATTCTGCCTTTCTTCAGACTTTGCTGCAGGGAGTTTCAAAATATCGTGTCTTGAACGGATTTTTGCCTACAGCATTTGCTTTGCTTATGAATAGAACTATCTAGATACTTGTCTTCCTCTTTCAATAAGCTCTTTATCTCTTAAGTGTTGACATTTCAGAGGCTGCTTTCTGCCTCTAAAAAAGTATGTTTCTCCATTTCTTCCTTTAGGGAAATATAATATTCTGCTTTTTTAATAGTCCTCAAAATATTTCATTCTTCGGAGGGTGGGGGGCTTCCCACACACCCAAGAGTCGATATTTACCTGTTTAATGTGGAATGATTCATTTGGGGGGGGTGTAATAACTTTTAATAACAATCAGGATTCCATTCCTATCTCCACTACGTGAATCCATTGTTACATTTGTTAGTTGTGGGGTTTTTTTTTTTTTTTTAAAAATGTGGTTTTATTGATGTACTACAAAACCGTACCCCTTTAACAACATCTCTTAATCCACAGAAGGTTCTGTGTTTTGTTTACCTGAACGTTTGTCAAATCGAACTTCAGACTTGGATCAACTCTCGGTTTGGGTTGGCCATTCAGTACTTTTGCCAGGTCACTCCAGCTTCCATATCCTGCACAGACAAAAAAAGACAGCGAAATAAAATCCCCGGTTTTAAAAAAAATTATTGCAATACGATTACTGCAGAAGTAGGAACCCTTATATCCTTTTATCTGATGCAATATGTATGTGATACGTTCCATACAGTATGCGATGCCATGACAACATATAAAAAAAATTGTTAAAAACGTCTTTAGCTGAAGGACAACCAATAGCACTAGCGATAGCACTTAGACTTATATACCGCTTCACAACCCTTCTAAGCGGTTTACAGAGTCAGCCTATTGCCCCCAACAATCTGGGTCCTCATTTTACCCACCTTGGAGGGATGGAAGGCAGAATCAACCTTGAGCCTGGTGAGATTTGATCTGCCAAATTGCAGGCAGCCGGCAGTCAGCAGAAGTAGCCTGCAGTACTGCATTCTAACCACTGCGCCACCTTGGCTCTTATGCTACGAGATGACCCACAATATAACTTTGGTACTAATCTGTGTAAGAGCTAATCTGGTAATAGTCTCTTTCTTATATCAACATTTAAAATAAAAATTAATCCTTAAAAATCCAATGTAACCATGGATATTCCTAAAACTACTACAAGTTTAGGATGGTTGTTAACAGATTATTATTATTTTTTTTTTAAAAAAAGACAAGCTGGCAATAAAATCAACTCTTGCGGAATCCCAAATGAAGCGTTTTTTTCATATGAGGTCATCCATGAGATTGTAGTGTTCAGACTTGAGAACTGGCAAGACCTGTATTATTTAACATTGTGGTCATGTGGTACGCATAACTAAACACAGAGGCTCAAGGAATGCTATTACCTTCTCACTGAAGTGGTACCTATTTACCTACTTGCATTTGCATGCTTTCGAACTACTAGGTGGGCAGGAGCTAAGGCAGGAACAGGAGCTCACCCCATCGTGCAGTGCTTGGGTCTCGAACACAAGCTGTCAGCTTTTCAGCTAACAAGCCCAGCATTTTTAACCATTGATCCATCACCCCCTCTATGGAGAATATCTAATGGCTGATATATTATTCAGTCTACATATTGTTGTAGAATCATAGTTGAAAGTGGCCCCATAAGTCTTTAGTGCAACCTCTTGCTCAAGGCCAAAATCTGCTAAAGCCTCTCTTTGAAGATTCCAGTAAAGGAGTATGTCATCTCATTTGACAACTGGTTCTACTGGTTGGCAATTCAAAAATTCCCTCTAATACCTGTCTTGAATCAACTTTCCTGTAGTTTAAAGCAGGGGTGAAATGCTCCCGGTTCGGACTGGATCGCCCGATCCGGTAACGATGGAGGCGGGTGGTTTGGAGAACTGGTAGCAAAAATCCCTGCCCCACACATGCCCAGCTGAGCCATGCGATCATCAGAGGCTTTTTTTCTTTTAAATGCCTCTGATGATCCAAGCTGAGTTGTCTGATCGTCAAGCTGAGTTTGACGATCCAAGCTGATGATCCAAGCTAAGGATCCAAGATGATGCCTGACGATCCAAGCTGAGTTGCCTGATCGTTATAGGCTTTTTTTCTTTCAAAAGCCTCTGACGATTCAAGCTGAGTTGCCTGATCGGCAGAGGCATTTAAAAGAAAAAAAGCCTCTGCTGATCAGGCAACTCAGCTGGGATCGTCAGAGCCTTTTGAAAGCATTTTTTACAAAAAATTTTGTAGAAAAAATGGTTTTAAAAGTTTTTTAAAAATTTGGCCACGCCCACCCAGTCACATTACCTCCCCACCAAGCCACACCCACAGAACCAGTAGTAACAAATTTTAGATCTCACCACTGATTTAAAGTCATTCTTCTATTCAGCGTCGCCTCTTTATTCATGATTATTCTCATTCATCATTGTAACAATCAATATCCCAAACTGGGTGAAAATCAAATGCACTGTTCTTGGAAAAAAATCCATCCTGTCTCAGACCATCAATATATCTATGCAGCCCAGAATTGATACAGAGTTAGGATCACAATTGGAACCCAAAATTTGTGTTGCTAAATGAAACATTTGTTAAGTGAGTTTGCCCCTTTTTACAACTTTCCTTGCCACAGTTGTTAAGTGAATCTCTGCATTTGTTAAATTAGTAAGTGAATCTGGATTCCCCATTGACTTTGCTTGCCGGAAGGTAGCAAAAGCTGATCACATGACCCCAGGACAGGATCACAACTGTCATAAATATGAACCACTTGCCAAGCATCTGAATTTTGATCATGTGACCATGGGGATGCTGCAATGGTTGTAAGTGTGAAAAATGGTCACAAGTCATTTTTTTAGGGCCGTTATAACTTTGAACGGTCACTAAATGTACTGTTGTAAGTTGAGGACTACCTGTACTATGCAGCAGCATCTCTGATACCTTCCAACAGAATTGAATTTCCAGCAGAAGCGAAAACAAAATTTTCATTATAATCTATAGGGATGGATGGGGAACTCATCAAATTTGCAGATGACACCAAGCTGGCAGGAATAGCCAACACTCTGGAAGATAGGCTTAAGATACAGAAGGAACTTGACAGACTTGAACATTGGATGCTGTCTAACAAAATGAAATTCAATGGTGCAAAAAGTAAGGTTCTACATTTAGGCAAGAAAAACAAAATGCACAGGTACAGTATATGTGGTACCTTGCTCAATAGTAGTAACTGTGAGAGGGATCTTGGAGTCCTAATAGATAACCATTTAAATATGAGTCAGCAATGTGCAGCAGCTGCCAAAAAAGCCAACACAGTTGTAGGCTGCATAAACAGAGGGATAGAATCAAGATCATGTGAAGTGTTAATACCACTTTATAAAGGCCTTGGTAAGGCCACACTTGGAATACTGCATCCAGTTTTGGTCGCCATGATGTAAAAAAGATGTGGAGATTCTAGAAAGGGTGCAGAGAAGAGCAACAAAGATGATTAGGGGACTGGAGGCCAAAACATATGAAGAACGGTTGCAGGAACTGGGTATGTCTAGTTTAATGAAGAGAAGGACTAGGGGTGACATGATAGCAGTGTTCCAATATCTCAGGGGTCGCCACAAAGAAGTGGGAGTCAAGATATTCTCCAAAGCACCTGAGGGCAGGACAAGAAGCAATGGGTGGAAACTAATCAAGGAGAGAAGCAACTTAGAACTAAGGAGGAATTTCCTGACAGTTAGAACAATTAATCAGTGGAACAACTTGCCTCCAGAAGTTGTGACTGCTCCAACACTGGAAGTTTTTAAGAAGATGATGGATAACCATTTGTCTGAAGTGCTGTAGGGTTTCCTGCCTAGGCAGGGGGTTGGACTAGAAGACCTCCAAGGTCCCTTCCAACTCTGTTATTCTAAATGATCTCTGACCTGCAATTGAGATGGGAGTGTTATCAACCCTACCAAGGATAGAACTTTGGACTTTCTGTATTCAGAATATTTTTTCTTTCTTTCTGAATTATAACCTTTCTCTTCTCCTAAATGCAATAAAAGCAATAACATACACAGTCCTTTCCAGCAAGAACAGCGACCTGATGTGTGTCAGCAGCAGAGTCAGAGTTCTCTCCAGATGGACCAAGAAAGTTCAAAAACTCTCGCACGATAATTAACTTTGGTTCAAAAGTCAATACCCGCAAGTGTTGATGGCAGTAAAACAAAATTACATGCTGGATTCTGAGTAACCATGTTACTTAGAATGATCTCACAATGGGTATGTGCAAGTTACAGTATCAAGAAAATTAAAGAGCTTAAAAGCAAAATAACAGTTACGGAAATTATATTTGGAATTCAACTCTAGTTCTCATCTGGGTAGCCAACACAATTTTGCCCAAAGAATATTTTACAAAAGAATACATTCAAACCTAATCCTGAGACAATAAATGTACAAGAAAAAAAAAAGAGTCTAAAAAGGGGATATTTCAAGAAACAAAAAAAATAAAAGAGGGTCTCAACATTTTAACATCTCCTTTATTATGGGGATAAAAGTGGGCATTTAACCATAGCCTACCTATAATTAACTCTGGTGCTAATGTACTGTATTTCTATAGATGTCATCTGTAGAAATAAATCTTTGCCCTAAATCTTGCAGAACAAATATGACAAGACAGTTTAAATATGTTTTTAGGTATTATTATTAGATGCGTGACAGATATAGGTGTGAGAACAGTGGTGGGATTCAGCTGGTTTGGGCCCGTTTGGGCCGGTTCAGCTGTTTAACCAGTTGTTAAATTGCTGGCTGGCTCCACCCCTTCCCACTCCGCCACTTCCAGGAGTCCCCATGCGCCCCGTTTTGGCTCCCAGGTAAGTGCATGGAAGCCTACTAGGCCCAAAAAGGGGCATGGGCAAGATTGCACAACCGTTTGTCTGGGATGGTATAAGGTCCCCTGCCTTGCATGATGGGTTGGACTAGAAGACCTCCAACGTCCCTTCCAGCCTTCTGATTCTATGGGTACCTTTGAATTTTTGAAGATTAGTAGAACTATCCTAATTCTTAGCCAGCAGGGCCAGAATTGGTGTAGAGCAGGGGTGTCAAACTGAAGGCCTGCGAGCTGGATCCGGCCCCCAGGGAGCTTAGATCTGACCCACGGGGCCACCCTGGAAACAGTGAAGGTCCGGCCCGCGGTACCTCTGCCAGTGAAAACAGAGCTCGAGAGGGCCGCCCTGCCCTCCCAAACTCCGTTTTCACTGGCAGAGGGTTGCAGGAGGCTGTTGTAGCTGAAAACGGAGCTCAGGAGCCTGTTTTCACTGGCAGAGTGCTCAGGCCTCCTCCGGCACCCCCAACATGAGTGATGTCGAGCTGGCCATGCCCCCCCCCGGCACCCCAAGGTCAAACACAACCCTGATGTGGCCCTCCATGAAATTGAGTTTGACACCCGTGGTGTAGAGGTTAAGACATCAGAGTAGAAGCCAAGGGACTGTGAGTTCAAGTCCTATTTTGGGCACAAAGCCAGCTGGGTGACCTTGGGCCGGTCACTCTTTTTCAGCCCTAGGAAGATAACTTCTGAAATGTCCAGGCAGGCACCAGGAGTTAACATTGACTCTAAAGCGTGCACTATACACAAACA